GCCTAAACGTGTTATGTTCATGGTTGGATGCCATTTTGTGTTTTGACCATTCAGAATATTACGCATCAGTGTTTGACAAACCTGGTTGTACCCTACTTAGGTGAAATCTATATATAGCATTAAACTAAACATGTCCTTCTTATAGTGTGGCTGTATTTCTGTATTTCACATGTGAGCTGTATGTAGTGTTCAAGTGCCCCAGTAGCAGGCGCAGGATGTGGGTCACTGCTGTATGTCTTGAGGGACCTCCGTGCCCTGCTCTGGAGCTTTTTATGCAGTGCCAGTGAGGACACAACCTGGCTCCCACCACTGTCTATTAATACTTCAAACTCACACTGTTTATGCACCATTTCAGTCACTTCTGTCACTGCTGCGTCCTATACTGCTTACACACAGATGCTCAAACCTGCATGCATGGGCGTGTTTACTGTCAATTCAAAGCCCAGTTTATCGCGGCTATATTTAGACAATGAAAAGAGAAACAGTGCTCACATGGCTTAAAATGGTCATCAGATCCTCAAATACAACCAACTGAAGTTTTGTTTTTTGTTATTCCAGTGTATTGTAATCTAAAATAATAACTCAGAAATTACTGGATTTGATGAAAAGTTTATCAAAACATAAACATGGATAGCTCACTCACAACATTTAATCCTCACTTGTATAGTCACTCAGTATTATTACATTTTAAGGTGGAAAATAATGCCAAATTTGAATATGGGGTATAACTGAAAAAAAAAGAAAGAAAGCACTGGGCACAGACACTCCATACTTTTTAATTAACTTTACTAATTTGGTTGCCTGGTATATTTTTTTGTATTCTGTTTTTCTTTTTTAATTATGGACTGAATAACATTAGTGCCTGAAATAAACAATACATAATAATAATAATAATAAATAATAGGTATGGATAGGAAAGGACAGTTCGCTACAAGCACCTACAATATTTCTCTTTTTAGGGTATTCATGTTTCCTGGTTTCAGCTTCATTTTATCTTAATACGTTGTTGTCCCTGTGAACCTACCCACATTTCTACATGAAAAGTGGTGCTTCCAAACAGCTTTGTCTGCACTACAGCATTAGTTGCATGACTCACATTGTGCTCAAAAGCTTGTTCTAAGATTTCATAGTTGTGAACTCCTGACGCTTAGTGCAGCTTGAATTCGATAGGCGAATTATACAGAAACCTATACACACCTTTGCAGTGCTAAATCATTCGTAACACCTGCTCCATTTGACAATTAACTCTGGTTACGGGCACAGTTTGGTGAAATGGGAAATTAAATTTCACTTGTGAAGAAATTTGAGTCTAATGATTTATCACTTACAACTAATGGAGAGTTATGAAGTGTGTGCATTTTGTTCATTTGTGTTACATGATTGATTTAGTTTGGGCCTTACAGTAGAAATGCTAATGTGATGTTGGGCTGATGTTGGTTTTGGCTGATCTCTTACAGATAAGAACATCCATAAAATATGAGTGCAAGATAATATAAGCTTGTCCTGCTAAATATATTGTTTTTAAAGTAGATAATTTTTGATAATTTATCTAATATGTCTCAAGACTAAACTTTTGCCAGGGAGTTGTTTCAGTCTTATAGATCTTACATTTACAGGACTGAAGTTACACTGAAGATTTTCAGATTCAGGGGTTAATTTCTGCCGAATGACACTGAATTCCCCATCATAGTGATTATTACTATTAAATTAGTGTTGTCCCAATACAGAAAGATCAAATTTTATATTAATACATAATAATGATATGAAAAAAATTGCTCTTTTTTAGACATTAGACTGTAATTTTCAACATTAAACAGTAGCTTTTTCTTTAATATTATCATGTGCTCTTATACTAGTTCTGATATGGATGATCAAAACCATCCTAAAACTATTCAGGATCCCTACCCCTTTTTGAGATCATTTCCATTAAAGAATATCTAATTTCAACAGTAGGTTTAGTATTGGGTATTCATACTTTTGGCTAATCTACATTACACAACTTTTTGTTGTTGTTGTTGTAAAAAAAATAAAAAATTAAAATTGGTTAGATTATGTTTTTTATAGTTGTATGTCGTTCTGGTTTCTGTTTGGTCCCCGGGTAAAAGGCCTCTTTCATACAACATACTAGTACATACACATACAAACACTACATACACATACATTGCTGTTGTCTGAACTGCCCCGTGTCTCTGCCCTGGCACTGACAGATGGAAAGTCTGTCTCTGCGACTTGTGTGAAGACCAAACTTACAAAGGTTTGACTTGGACTTGGAAGTGATTCGATTAAGAGGTCGGGGTTCAAGGGTCAAAGTCACAGGACCTTTACAAAACAGGGGTGAAGAGTTGGTGGCTTCATCCCTTCAGTCATAGCCTAGGATTAGCAAAGAATGTATGTAGGCAAACATTCCTATTTTGTAAAAGATTTTTGTCATATGTCCAATTTGACAGTGGAATAAGATCCCTAAAACGTTGTACATCTGCCATTTACTGCATGATCCATTAAAATAGTAAGTCTTGTGATGTAGGTGGGGTCAGGGTTGCTGAGGAAACATATTTTTTATATTTTGTGAGGAAATGTCTGAGTGAAAGTCTGTTTATAATTGTTGAGTTATTATGTAAGGGCTTGTTGTTCTTTTTGGACAGTTGCTACTACTACAATATGTACTTTCATCTGGTTGCAGTATTGTTGTTTATGTGAAAAAAATTCAAGGCTGCCACTAATTCCATCAGCGTCTTGTTTACTTTGTGTACAGGCAAGCACAAAGCTGCTGTCTCAATTGTCTGGTGTCATCTTCCTTTGTTTGTGTTACAATCTTTAACACCACAAACCACTAATCATTAACATCAATGCTGTTCAAGCTTGAGACTCTTCTCCTGTTATTATTATTATGTGATTTATCTGGCTATACAAAAGGATAATTCATATTTACATGGCAGCTATAGGGCATTTATTTTGTTTATTATTTTCTTAGCTTTGGGGCAACTACCCATGAATTAACTTTTCTGACATTCTTGGCTGTGGCAGGCCTGTCATGATAATTACTATATTGACTTATCGTTCAGTATATGAAAGCTGGAACAGTATATTTTGGGGCTCAGTATTTATCGTGTGTACATTTTCTTTAATAAAGATGAAATATGAGCTGTAGAGAGTAAAATAAATGACTTCTATGGCTATTAGTTCATTCTGATATCGATTTGTTGCATCTCATGCCTTTTAAATGATACTGCATGTTTAAAAACTGGTTCCCTGAAATTATCGTGTTGAAAGTAGTTTCAATCTTAACGTTTACAGCAAAAATTATATATCGTGCTATGGTGACTAATTGTAGCCAGGCTGGTGCCACCTAGTGCCTCCGCTCAATTACATTTCTCTCCAGCGACTAGGTCAGAAATCAGAATACACTACAGTTCGCAAAAACCCCAGAAGTGCAAGTTCGGGCACCAGCCATTCAGTGAAGAACCACATATTCTGTGTTGGCAACGATTCCCGAGATCAAGGATTTAAAGCCGGAACAAAAAGAATGTTTGGTGAATTTTATCAAGGGGAAAGACGTTATTGCCTTTCTTCCTATGGGATTTAGGAAAAGCTTGATTAGTTAAACCCATTAGCAGCGCATTACATACATGATGACCAAATAGCAGCGATTGGTTGAATGAAAAAAGTACCCACGTACCGTCGAGCAAACAAATCTTAATGCTGTGAGGTCAGATGGTTTCCATGAACTGAAACTGGCTGATGAATCAGGCTAGACTAATTGTGGCACTAAATTACAATTACACCATCTTGGTTTCTCCACTCTTTAATTTCCTGCTTTGGAGAGCCATACTTGTGACCAGTATCTTAGTATCACTGGCTATTTTATCTTCATTGTTGTATTGTGAATTGGCTTGTGGACCATTTGGCAAGACTGTTCAAAATACCAAGTTTTAACATGGGTGATCAGTCAAACTCTTTTTGTCACTAATCTACAGGGCGCGTATCAGTTGTATTAGTGCGTTTTGTTGTGGTGCCATCCATCTTGCCTATGAATGTATTTCAGTGATTGATGAGAGATAGGGTGTAGTTGTCCAGGGCAGCTGTGGCAGATGAAAGAGCGAGTGAATAATGCAATGTAAAGCTTTTTGATTATCTAGAAAGGCCCTATGAACACCAAGCTTCAATACACGGTGGTTTTATATCTTTTATATCCATCATTTTCTATTCTATTTAGGCCTGTCACGATAATTACTATATCGACGTATCGTTCAATGTATGTTATATTGAACAATAATTTTTGGGATTCAGTATTTATTGTGTGTACATTTTCTTTGCATAAGTGGCTTTTTTTTTAAGTCATGAAAAAAATTCAATGAAAGTTTTGAAAAAGTCATGGAGTTTTAGTATCACTTTCACACAACTACAGCGTTCAGTTACTTTATCATTAGACTGTTATGATTATTTCCAAACGTATATGCCTTTTGTTTAAAAGAGACAATAAATGAGAATATTTTGAATGTATACCAAACCATAAGGTGAGTGGAAAGGGTTAACATTTCATATGTAGCCCTAAAATATGCTCAATTACACATGTAGGTGCGTCATGAAAAAGTCATGGAAAAGTTTAGAAATTTTGTCAGTGAAAAAGAGTGGGAATTCTGTATATGTTATTCTGCAGTATGATAATATTTGAGCTAATGAAGGCTGAATTATGAATTACTGAACTAAAATTATATTATATGTTTATTTATTGCAGCACAACAATATTTAACAAATTTCAATATTATCATTTATCGTCTATGTTTACTTCTGCAATATAACACACAGAATTTGCTATCATGACAGGCCTAGTTGTATTTCTTTCTCAGTAACCATAGGCCTTAGTGGGTCATCATAGGCAGACTACTATTTAATTTTCCATCAGGAGCAGTTTAAAGTCATCACTTCAGTTTTACTTTGAACAGTGGAATTAAGCAGGAGCAACGGAGGCTGAACTAATCATGTTTTTCTTTCATCTTCAGGTACAACCCGGCCTCCTCGAGACGGTGAGGTCCCAGGGGTGGACTACAACTTCCTGTCTGTGGAGGACTTCCTGGAGCTTGAGGAGAACGGCACGCTTTTGGAAATAGGAACGTATGAAGGTGAGGGCGGCGGCCGTGACAGTTATCTCAGCTGACACGCCGTGCAAGTCACTGTAGTTCACAGGTGTTCCGATTAGCCACTGCTCCGCTGCTACAACAGGCAGAGCATAGCAACTATCAACATGTATTCTTCTCAACAAGCAGAATGCCTGGATTTAAATGATTCAGATCAGCATGGAAGTCCAGGTGCAAAAGACTAAACAGAACACAATATGAGTTTGTATCACGGAGGCTAGAGACAGAAATATAGCCAACCATTGTAATTCTCATATCTTAGTAGAATGTTCCACAGTATGGCATTAAACTTATCTATTTCAGCAAATGCCAGTGATACGCAGGCCAAGTTAAAGCTCAGATCTGTGGATAGATTGCTCCAATTACATTAAAGTTCCTATATTACAAAAAATAGATTCTTGTGATCTTTAAGTCATGTTATAATGTTGTTACCTCCTCAAAATTACCCAAAGTTGTGTTTTGTTTCATTGACACAAGTTTGAATAATCCTTTATGATTAATCTGTCTGCATCTCCAAAGCTCAGAAGACTGTGCTCCACCTTGTGATGTGATGAAGTACTAATTTTTAAGTTAACAGCTGCATGTTACCTTCATTTCAGTTGACATTTGCAATCCCAAGGCTGAAATGATCCAAATGATTCTAGTGAAGGTGTATGAATAAAAAAAAAACACAGTGATGCACTTTCTATATTTCCACATAACAAGGTGAACAAAGTGTTTTCCTTTTGCCTTGTCAGTCTAAGTATGCACAATGTGTGTGTTAATGAAACAAAACAAATCTCCAGGTAAAAAGGAGAAATTAAATTTGTGAACTGGACAGAAGTTTAGTTTAGTTTAATTTAAACTTTTGTTCAGTTGTTCAGTTGTTAATTTCTCCTTTTTCCATGGATTCTACCTGGATGACTGAGGGATTTTATACAAATCTGCAGGTATATTTTTGAGTAAACAACATTATAACACAGCGTAATATAGGCCCATTAAGAATGCATGTTTTTCCATGTTTATCAATGTATTTTTTAGCAATAAAAACCCATGAAGTGAAGGCTTGACAGATAAGTTTAATACCATACTGTTGAACAGTCCAGCAAAAACAAAAATCAAGCTAGAACTGCACAGTTGCATAAATATTTTTAACAAATAAACACTGCCTGGGTAACTGGACTCCCGTTCACAGCATGCAGTCACAGCGTCTGTCATTCAAAATATGGTGAGGTTTCAGACAGTGTTAGGCAGTTATAAGTCTTTGTAGTTGTTTGCTTTTGATTATGTCGTGCATGATGGCAGAGAGGATGTATCCAGGAAGCAGCAGGTCACTCCACATCTGCCCCTCTCAGTCTGATTAGGACAGGGCTAGTCTGACAGAAAGCACTCTCAGTGTGTGTATGTGTGTGTGTGTGTGTGTGTGTGTGTGTGTGTGTGTGTGTCAGTGTGAAGTAGTCTATGTTGTTGTGTGTATTTGGTTGTGATTTTGTAACTGTGAGAGAGGCGGGCGCAGGCAGGAGACACTGTTATGACGATAATCTGCTTGGCACCGGCTCCTCTTGTGTTGGCATGTTGCTTCTTTTCACACAGACGATGTCAAATACCTGTCCGCAGGAGTCAGCTGGAGCCCAAAAGGACATGCCTCGAGTGTTCCAAAAAACAAAACAAAAAAACATTAGATTTTAACTAGGAATGCAGTGATCCAACTTTCAATACCAATTTCAGTACTATGGCTTTAAGTATCTGCCAAGACAAAACTGATCTAAATGTGTTATCTAGCTGTTATTTATCCCTCACATAACAACAGAACAGCTATGTATAAAAAAAAAATACAATCAATTAATTCTTATTACATAATTTTCAGGATCAGGATAATCAGGATATCTACTGAACTGTGCATCCTTTATTTACCATCATTGAGGGAAGAAGACTAAGCTAATTTGAGTATAATGTTAAACTTGTTACTAAATATTTTAAATAACTGGTTTCAGAATTTTGTTAGTGGTAAATGTGGCACCATTTTTAGCTTATGTTACAAGTCCTGGAGTATTTCCCAGTGACATTGAAAATACATATTGTACTGTACACACACAGATTGTGCTTGAGTCATATAAATACCTCAGAAACAGTACTGACTAAAACAATATTTTTATAGTCTAGTTCTTGCTTTGTCATGTATTTCCCGGTGGTTCCGACAAATTATCACACTCAACTGAACGAGCCAATGATTTTTCAAAATTGTTGGCTGTCAAATCAAGTGCTATTACTACTGAGCCAATGGAAGTAGTACAATTACATAATGGTGTTGAATTATTTATGTGTGAATCATTTCGGATCAGCAGTATCTTGTATCAGCTGTTTGCATAGAAGAGAGTATATATTCTGCTCCTCACTCATCGATTAGAATGGATTTTAATTGTTTTCTATGTAGGCTCTAAATACGGTACTATATCAGTTTATCACACAATATATGAAAGCTGGAACAATATATTTTTGGGATCCGTATGTATTGTTTGTACATTATCTTTGCACTATGGGCAGATTTGTGGTAATTTTTTACTATATGATAAGATTTGAGCCATATAAGGTTGAATTTATACTTCTATGTATTATACTTGACTCTATGACTCATTACTAGGGATGTAAGAATAACCAAAATATTGTGATATCATCTCGTCAAAAGTCTCACAATAATATCGTGGGCTGTCTCAATATATTGAATTACAAGTTCCTTTGCTTAAATGCATGTTTTTTTGTAGCAACAGCTTATAAACATAGGGAACTACATATCCCATGATTCATTTAAGTGCAGACTACATGAAGAGATATGTTTTTTACTTGAATTCTTGGGATTATGACAGAAATAATTCACACCAAAATCTTGTTAAGGTATTTTCAGCACAAAAAAGTGTCCCATCTACAATTAGCCTCTTCAGAATATCACAATAAATATCGTACCGTGAGATGCATGTTATTTTGATATTGTACCTTGAGATTTGTATATTGTTGCATCCTTACCCATTACAGATGCAAACTAAGTACTAAACAGTTCATTTATTGCAATATATAAAACAATATACATTTTGAGTATTTCTTTATGGTTTAAACCTGATCTTGGGTTATTGTGTCAGTGGCATAAATTAGTTTCATTATCGTTTATCGTCTATATTTACTTCAGCAATATATTGTACTTCAAAATTTGTTATTGTGGCAGGCCTAATTATAAAATGTTGAGCTATTTGTGAAATAGATTTGCTGTATAGGATAATGAACTTAAATATTCTCAGTATCCTGCTGTTATAAGATATGTGGTTTCTGTACACTGTAATTCTACTGTTTATTCCTTCGTATCATTGCAGTCTTTTCCTCTTAACTGTTCAGGATTACACAGTTTTCATACAAGTAGAGCCCTGCATACTCCCTCCCTATCCCCTACTCTATTTTACATCCTCTTTTTTCTTCCTCCTATCTCGCCTCTTCCTCACCGCTCTCTAAGCATGCTAATGTCCTTTCTTGTTTCCTAGGTAACTATTATGGGACCCCCAAGCCTCCGCGGCAGCCCATCATCGGGACAGTGATCCTTGGTGCTCCTGACTCGCGACAGTCCACCCCGAAGCGCACCAAGTCCTACAATGACATGCAAAACGCTCGAGTAGTGCCTGCTGACGACGATGATGACGACCAGGCCACGGAAATGAACAACAGTTTCACAGGTGGGCCCCTTGCTGCTACGAACACTGCATGACTCCCATCTTTGCATGTTTGTTTACGTAAAAGATCATTTCATTCTCTCAAAATGTATCATGTACGAATATGTAGCATAAGATTTGTCTATTACATCTATTGTCATTACATCATATTTACCGATGTGGAGTTGTTTTTGGTCGAGTTGCAAATGCTGCCATCTGCCAGCAAGGAGGGGAATAGAACAATTTGACAAACACTTTCTAATAGACTGATATTTATGTACTTTGATGGGAAATAGTATTCAGTTTTCTCTACAATGTTTCATTTTAGGTTTTTGATTATGGGGGAGTTGTTTTAATAATTCCATTTCCCCCCTGTTCACTTCTGTTTTAAATGGTTCTATATAGCATAATAATTTTTTTAAGATTTTTTATTTGTAGCATAAACTTGATTCTTCCTTTTTACTTAGAGTCTTTCCCAGGCTATGTTGCTTGCCTGTTGCTGGGAATGTATGCTTTCTGTGTCCCCATGCCAAGCTGCAGAAGGGAATTAGCATTTGATCAAGTCTGAAAGGCCCAGGAAGTGTAGACGCACAGTGGGCCAGAGCTGTGTTTGAGGGGGGTAGGGGTGAGAGTGCTTTCAGGAGAAAGGAGCTTAAGGGTGGGGCAGTAGAGTGGGGTAAAGTGGGGGTTTGGAGGTTTGGATAGCACTGTTGCTGAATAAATTTGCATAGTCCAGGGGTCTTGAGTACACTGGGAGAGGAGTGAGCAGGAAAATCTAAGAAATGTTTGAAATTGTCTGTTCATTGCAGTTATGATTGTTAGAGTTCATTATACAGCAGTAGTTATTTTTGCATGATTTGTGTTGATGCATGTTTTTCCTTTTTTGCATGAAACCTAAACTCTTTCTTTTCTCTCTGTTTGTTGTCATCTTGTGCTTTGCCTTGCCCAGGATCCTTAGTGCGTAGTCTCTTCCCCTCTCCTTTGCTGTGCACAGGTAACCCTAACGACCCGGACGAGAGCCGTGGTGGTATCCTCCGGCCCTACGCAGCACATGCTCCCATCGGTCTGAACAATGCAGCCATTTCTACGGCGGACAGCGGGCAGCAGACGCTGGCTGAGCCACAGGTCTCCCCTGATGACCCTCTGGGGCCACTGCCCGAGAACTGGGAGATGGCCTACACTGAGAATGGAGAGCTGTACTTCATAGAGTATGTATATCATTTGTTTTAGCTATAGCCACACTAGCCTCTCTGTATTTCACTTGCAGTGTTGTTTGTCCAATGGCTTCCCACTGTCATTGTGCTTTAAGGCCTCCTCTCTCCACTTGCCCCGCCCGCTGAGTGGCACTGCCTTCCTGTTAATCCCTACATGTCCCGATCTCTGAAGGAGATCACCTCTGATCACCTGACTACTCCACCTCTCTGTCTTCCAGCAGCACAGCAGAGGTGCCCCACACAGCAATGGCTGTGTGTTCACAGGGCCTGTATGTCTGTTTATTACAAAAATATGATCATTATCAGGAACTGTCAGTGCTCTTCTGCTTGTGCTGCTTGTTGTTTTCTGTGTATTTCTGCAGATGCTTCTTACAAACTTGCTGACGTGCTTGTTTCTGTAATTCTCACTGACGCACTCACTTCCCTGCTGTGCTTTTCTAAGTCGCATTGACAGCTTTTGTTGAATCATGCTTTTGCCTGTTTGTTCCTCTCAGCCACAACACAAAGACCACGTCATGGCTGGATCCCCGGTGCAGAGACAAAGGCTCTCGACCACTGGAGGAGTGTGATGACGATGGTAAGCTCCAGATCATTTACACAACAAACTACAGTAACAATTAAGTCAAGTTACCACCATTGTCCAGCTGCTACCAATAGTCTGGTACTAAGTTAAGACTCCTCTATCCATATAGTAGTCTTTGCTATATAGAAACCTCACTTTGGGATATTTGTTAATTGATAGCAATTCAGGGCAAGAAAATCTCAATTCTATATTGAAAGCAGATTGATGTTCATGACAAATCAGTTCATGTTTAGCTGTAAAATTGCACCATCCAGTGGCCAACACACAAAGTAGCACTAAATAGATTTACTTGGCCATTTCTAAAATGTTTTTTAAATGTTAGATGTTCTGAAACTAAGGAGATTTGTTTTGCTTCTTGTTTTTTTTCTCTTGACTGTTTATTTTCCGCCCTTTTTCCTTTATTTTTCCATATTTTCTCCTTTCAACTTTCTTCTGTCTATCTTTGCTCTCTTCATTTTGTTTTCTTATCTCATTCTGCTTTCGTCTTGGAGAAGAAGGGATACATACAGAGGACCTGGAGAGTGATTTAGGTAGGATCATTTGCATTTGACACAAAACATATCCATGGTTTACTGTGAGTTGTATAATCCTACTATACATACCAATACAAATGGTAATTTAATGTCTTTTGTTAGCTTCAGGCTACGATTTATGTACCATTTTCCCTCTTCAAATGTGCTTTGATTCTTTGCATATGCACTATTCAACCTAATGTAGAGACAGTTGAGTATGTGACAGTGTGTGGCAGTGTAGCTATAAGGTAACTGGCATGCTTTTCAATGAAAGATCAATTCTCTAGTAGTAGATCCAGAAAACAATGATACAAGGGAGGATCAACCAACAACCTTTGATATGTTTATAAATGTTTTCTCAAAATAAAATGACAGAAATGCATGAAATTCTTACAAAATGCATGTTATATTGTGGTTTGTTTAAGGACACTAGGTTTATACGTCCTTGGAGCCACTTCACAGAAACAGAGGCTCAGCTGGCGGTTCCATCTCATTTGTAGTTTGAAAAAACATAGTTGTAAAGGAACGAGCTGTTCGTCTCGAAAAAGACATCGAGTGTCTGGCTATGGCCTTGTTATTGCTGGCCCTTGTGCAAACTGACAGTCTGTGATTATTGATTGTGAAACCCAGTCTCTTTTAAAAGTTGTTTACTGGACTTGGGAAAAGCCCATAGTAACATGAGGAGCTAATGTCTTAAACTGAAATCAAATACAGCTGAGGAAAACCATGATAGTAGTGGTGTGAAATGGGCCTCATCTGATGACCACTTCCCACTGTGCACGGTTTGCTTTGAGAACATTTAATCTAGTGTTACAAGTGATCCATTACCTGATAGCAGTTACTAGAAGCAGCAATAAAACTAAAATGCTGTGTTAAAGAGCCCATATTACACTGATTTCTGATCTATATAATAACCTCATCAGAAACATATTTGGAGTTGTGTTTTGACTGATTCACACATGTTTAACACACAAACCCTGTAAAAAATCCCTCAGTCTTCCAGGTAGAATCCAATCACAAAAGGAGAAATTCAGTTTGTTAATTGGACAAAAGTTGATTTGGTCGAATACGTTTCGCAGCTCATTCAAGCTGCTTCTTCAGTTCTGGTCAAAATGCTGGTGAATACATCCTTAGGCAGATATAAGGAAGTATCCACCAACATTTTGACCAGAACTGAAGAAGCAGTTTGGATAAGCTGCGAAACGTATTTGACCAAATAAACTTTTGTCCAATTGACAAATTGAATGTTTCACTGTCGATTAAACTCTATACACTTTCACTAGAATAATTTGGATAATTTCAGCCCTGGAATTGTCAATCTCTGTTAAACTAAAGTTTAAAGGTAGCTGTTAACTTGAATACTACCGCTTCACAAGGTGGAACAGAGCATTTAAAGCTTTGAAGATGCAGACAGACTAATAATAAAGGATTCTACAAACATGTGTAAAACAAACAAAGCACAACTCCAGGCATATTTTTGATGAGGTTACAACATTCTAACATGGCTCAAAGCTCACAAGAATCTAATTTGCATAATATAGGTCCTTTAAAAAGTACATAAAATATGCAGATATACTGGTATAACAGTCCTGTTTGCTTTAAAAGTATTGTAAGCTTTTTTTAGATAGATAAATTATGTTTAGTTTTTTTTAACTGATGCAAATGTATGACTATGTGATATGGTGCTCAGTGTTTTTCTATTTTTTTTTAGAATTGCCACCAGGATGGGAGAGGATAGACGATCCCGTGTATGGTGTATATTATGTAGAGTAAGTCCATCTCTCTGTTCATAGTTGCATTATTATACCACCAAGAGTTTATAAATTGCAAATCACGTATTTATAATAGCTGAGTCTTGAATGGTTTGCTAGTTGGTATGATAAAGCCTACGTCAAATTAATAAATCAGCAGGTCTTAGTCAGAGTACGAAGCAGATGAAGCAACCCCTGAAAGGAAAATCATTTGTTATTTGCAATTCTGCCAACCAACCAAGGGCCAATCATTCTATGTAATTCTGTTTTTGTTACTAAGATAAATTTTCTGTAGAAATTCACAAATTATAATTTTCCTTTGACATTTTCCTTTGTTTACAGAGTGATCTAAAGTATGAATGTTTGTTTTTGTTCATTTCAGCCATATCAACAGGAAGACACAGTATGAGAACCCGGTGGTGGAGGCGCGGCGCCGCAAAATCCTGGAGCAGCAGCAGCCGCAGCCTCCAGAAGGTGAGCGGTATATTCGAGGTTCGTTTCCTGCCCTGGCACGGCACCATTTCTTTCTTTCTTTGTGTTTGTCTCGTCTTTATAGTGAGAGTGTCAATGCCATGGGTTTGGACCAGCTGCATCTCTGTGTCTGTGATTTTTGAGGCCGTGCTTTTGGAATCAGAAACTTGAACATCTCATGTTGTTTCTGCATTTGCACTGGTTCAAATCCTGGTGCTGTCGTCTTGTGTGTATGATTTTTATTTATGTGCGTTAAAATCATTAGTGCTGTGTCTTCATTCATAAATTTAGGGATAAAAAAATGCTCAAGTTTGCCATTATTGTGGCCCTCAAATTTCTCAAGCCTAGTTGCACCACAAAAATAAATGAAAAAGATAACAATTAAAAGACATAATCCAGGATTATTCTAGATATAATCACAAATAAGCAAGACATCACCCAGAACTAAGTCTGGGGTAAACTGGAATTTAACAAATTAATACTCAGGGATAGATAACATAGGAATATGATGAACGCACTAATAAAGAAGGGACCAATATAGTTATTCTGCCCTTCTTACTATACTAACATGGGTATAGAACTATCTCTAAATTAAGTTACATCTTGATCTGTTTAAGATTATTCAGTGAAAAAGACCTTTATTTGAAAGTTTGCTACATCCATCTGCTGCTAGACTATTGTTCAAAGCAAACTGCTTCAGGCCAATAACATATGTACACTAACACGTTGTGCTTAAAGCTCTGTGTGTGAGTGGTGTTTGTGGCTAAATGTTACATGTTGCAACAGTTATCTTAAAATAAGGGTGTATTAAACCCTCATGGATTTACTCGAACAGAGTGGATAGAGGAGCACTCCTCAGCTGCTGCTCCTCTGGCCAACTATGCTCCTAATCACCTGGAGACTTACAGGGACCCACAAGTCCTGCCCACTCTACCTCCGGGCCCCACTGGAGCCAAACGTAAGGCTAATTTCTATTCATGAATATGTTTCTGTTTGTATTGAAACTATCAGCTAAGACTCTTTCCCTTGGTCTATAGGAGGAAAGCCTTTCTTCACCAGAAACCCAGCTGAGCTCAAAGGAACCTTCATCAACACAAAGTTAAAGAAGAGCAGACGTGGCTTTGGTTTTACTGTGGTTGGAGGCGATGAGCCCGATGAGTTCCTCCAGATTAAGAGCCTGGTGCTGGATGGACCTGCAGCTGTGGATGGGAAAATGGAGACAGGTGCAGTACACATCCTTCAGCCACAGGGGGCTCTCTTGTGTGGGAAGTTATTGACAATATTATTGTGGTATATGTGTAATGTGTCAAACATGGTATTTTCTCAAGACATGAATGTGGTCCATATAAAAAAACAAACAAACAAACAAAAAAAACCACAGTGTTTGCCTAGACAAACATAAATATAGGCTTGTGCTGTATTATTACTTTTTTTACAGAAATTCACAAATTATACATTTTTTGTTATTATGATTTTCTTTACTGATATTATGTCTCAAAATAAGATGCTCTATTTAACACAGGATATGGTCTACTTAGTCTACCTCTTTAAATGCTCCCTGTGGACTGATGTGCTGTAAACAGTAAAACAGTAAAACTTTAAACAGTACACTGGGTCTAATCCAATGTGATTGCTATGTCCATATTAAATAAATAGTTTAGTTTGTACACTTCATGGCTTTTCTGTCTTGCTTGATTTGCAGGTGACGTCATAGTGAGTGTGAATGACACCATTGTACTCGGATACACGCATGCTCAGGTGGTCAAGATCTTCCAGTCCATCCCCATTGGTTCCATGGTGGACCTAGCCTTATGTCGTGGCTACCCACTGCCATTTGACCCCGACGACCCCAACACCAGCCTGGTGACCTCGGTGGCCATCTTGGACAAGGAGCCAATCATTGTGAATGGACAGGAGACTTTTGAGCCACCAAACCAGGTGGGACCAGTGAACGGGATGAGAGAGCCAAGACCACACAGCCCCTCCGCAGATGTGGCGTCCAATGGTTCCCACGGCTACTCCAGTGATGTGGTTACTCTAGCATCGTCTATAGCCACGCAGCCTGAGCTCATAACTATCCACATGGAGAAAGGAGACAAGGGTTTTGGCTTTACCATCGCGGACAGTCTAACAGGTGGTGGTCAAAGGGTGAAGCAGATTGTAGACTACCCTCGCTGCAGAGGTCTGAAAGAAGGAGACATTTTGATGGAGGTCAACAAGAGGAACGTCCAGAACATGAGCCACAACCAAGTGGTGGACCTGCTGAGCAAATGCCCCAGAGGAAGTGAAGTGACCATGCTGGTGCAAAGAGGTATGGGTGTCATCTTTGGTATTTCATAAAACCTCTACAATTTGGATTTATCTGGATCTGCCAAGATATACCAGAGAATGTAAAATGTTACCCTTTATACAGAGTCAAGTTCATAGACTGTATAAAGAAGTGGACGAAGGGAGTGTGACGTCACCCATAGTCTCCAGTCAAATTAAGCTAACTCAGGCTAGCAATTATAGGGTAAAATTTTGAGCCATGTTCCATATTAGGAGTAAGAATTTATTTGCAAATAAAATAGCAAAGCAAAAACACCAGGATCATGTAGAGCAGGTTATTATGAAGATTTTAAGAGAAAAATGAGGAGGCTCACTGCAGCAGATACAGAGAGATGGAGTGAGAAGTGCCCCCATACTCACTTCCTATTTGGAAAGTGGTGACTAGCGAGTTAGCTATGTCCTTTTATACAGTCTATGATCAAGTTATGCAATACTTAACCATTTGTGAGTGTAGTAAGGCATATAAGACACCTAGACAAAGGTAAACTGGTGATTTTGCATTCTTTGCGTTCTTTTTTTCTCTCATTGTTGTATGTGAAAACAGAAGTTTTAGTGTGGCGTATGCATGCGTATTTAACAAAACCTACATGTGAACATCTGCTGCTGAAGAGGGAACAGACTGAGAATGTGGCACAAAACATTTAATAAAGGAAACGGGAAAAGAATTAGTGTGTGGAGTGGGCGGACGTCGCCGTGGATGATGTAAAGAGTGGACACATGAGAGTGAATGGTGCCGATGAAGCAGATGACTGTGGGAGGGAGTGGGAGGTGCGGGTCAGACTTTCTATATTTCATATATAGCTAATTAAAATGACTCGTATGTAAGGACAGTTGTATTGGTTGTTTACAAATGATTTCATTATGTTACACCCGGGTATGAGCCAGAATTGCGTGGTAATATTCCCTGAAATATACAGAAGAATAAATAGCCTTCAGCTGCTGAATGTAATCATTTATACAGCAATGATGTACAAATAGATTTTTATCCAACCAAAAAATTTGCACAAGTGTAATTTTGCCTGCCTACTCTTCACCTATAGAATGTTATGATGATATGGAAAACTCCGTATTCAATATTCAGGTGCTTTTGTTAAGAGCAACGCATGCCTATAAAACTTACTTGTTCCCTTTTCTTTTGTTTATAAGAGAATATGCATGGTTGCATATAATCAAATAATTTTGGACTACAGCTTGGAGAGATGCTTGGTCAATGTACAAAGTAGGAAAAGTGCAACATTTTTTTTTTTGGACAGATTTCAGATCAGAAATCCAGTGGAAAACTAATTATTTACAGGTGTAGTGACAGATGATGTGAATCTGGTTGTTGTGGGAGAAGAGAATACTGACCACATTAGATAGTCAGTTAGCTAAAAATAAAATACTAAATGTCCTACTTTAAAATACAAATGATAATGAGCGTGAGAAGCTATTAGGTTTTTATTTTCGGACATTTTTCAATCCAAATCGTCCTATTATTAGAATGTTATATATAAATGAATTACTCATTAAACTAATTACTGGGTGCTGAAGTACTGTATGTTTATTTAGATGTGTAGTGTAGACTGAAGTGAGAGTGATGCTCGGACCTTTTAAGTAATCTCTATAGCAGACAATAAACATTCACAAGTAACAATTACTGAAGCCAGGAGAAGTGTTTTTTGTCAGATATGAGTTGACACTAGAAATATGAGAGGCAGGGATCAGGGAGTGAGGAGAGGATTAGAGACGAGCGCAGAGACCAGATTTGCTGAGCATGGCTAAAGTTGGGCTCTGGGATCGTGCGCATGAAGATTGGTTTGAAGGAAAAAGGTCCTGGATGTGAGACCGGACTGAGGTTGGAGAGGGGGAAGAGGCTTTTCTGTTAACCTATGACTCATGTATCTCTCTGTGGAGCTAACAAGTAAAGAGCAATTTGTCCTGCAGTAAGTCACAACAACACACTTTACAAAAAAAAAAATCAAAATCATTACTTGAAGAGTTCATTTGCAGTGCCAGATGAGTGTCATATGAGAACAAAAAAATGCAAAATGTATTTTTGTTTAGCAATAAAACTATGTTGATTTTTTTATTTTTTATTTTATTGCAATACAAATATTATTCCATCCTCCTTGAGAAACTCTCTCAACTCTCAACTATACGGTCAATAATATTATAAGTAGAAGATGGTAGCAAAATGAAAAGTACCACATTTTCACAACAGAGATATCTGTATGTCATTATTGATTTATATTTAGGCATTTCAGTCTGATGTTGTTGATCCATTAACAAAAAGCTATGAGGCAGCGAACTCTTTATGCAAGTGCCAAGCCCAGATAAATTAACTGTGTATTATAAATGTATTAATTATGAATTTATTATGAAATTCTATAGCCATGCTTTCTAATGGTTTGTTTGTGACTTATTACTTGCAAAGAGAAAAGACCCAGGAGACAACAATACTGTGAACTGTTAATCAATTATACATCACTGCATATAATTTAAGCTTTTTTGGCTGGAAAACACAGCTCAAATCAAGTATATGAACATAGATTTTTTTTTTTTATTTTAAAGTGAAAATTTATGGAGAATGTTATGAGCTGTTTTAACATGCATATCTTTCAAAAACAAGTCTTGTCAATTCCTTGTTTGCACCTTGTATTCCAGCAGTTATGCATAAACCTTGTATTCCAGCAGTTAATAGGTATGCATACTCAAACACCTCACTAATTGCTCCCTTAATCTATCAGTCTCACCTAATAATTTAGTGCTTAGCCTCTCCCTCTTCCTTAGATAACATCTGGCTCATTCAAATGCAGTTCCCTCCCTGTAAAAGGAGGCCAGGGCAGCTCCTACTCCTCCATCTTGTCTTCCTCCCATCGACCGCTGTTTCCATGACAATCGTGCACCGCGCTCCTGTCCCTCGAGACCGAGCAGCGCAAGGCGAGGGAAAATGAGAATCCAGGAAACGGAATTAAAAGTGTAAGGTAGAAGAGTACAAGTGCAGATTAAAAACAACAGTGGTATCAATTAGAGTTTGGGGATTTGGACTGAGATTGAGGGTCACAGAGAAAAAAACTTGTGCTTTGGATAAAAAGTCAGGAAGGCTATATTTCATTGGTTTAGACATGTATACATATAGACGGGACGGTCCTAGGCAGATGGAGTTGTGCAGTTCAAATGCTCAGTTGCTTGCCTTTAAGCTTTTGTCTTTCTTACCTCGATAGTTGTGGATAATTTCTTCATGGAAAAATGTTTATCCTTTGTGGACCTTGCTGATTGAAGATTTGGTAATGGAGCAGATTTATGAAGCTGTTGGAGAATACGCCACATTTACACACACATTTTGCCACAGAAAACCATTAACCAGATGCTCTGCGACCCTACAGCGGGGGACTTCCGGCCGTTGTGAAAAAGGTCTATAGCAGGCAGAGACCAAGGCCATTTCACACAGCAGCGCCACATTGAAAAACCCTGAAAGCCTGAAAAACCTTCTGCCTGGCTCCCAACACCCACTTTCCCTATTAACTACCACTGACACCTGCTGTTTGTACCCTGCACCCACCCACACTAGAGCATTTTACACACAGTTCTCACTAAGATATACTAGGTGTTACCGCTTTCTTGCTTGAAACATTAATTATTCACTGCATAAAGCCGTATCAAGGCCAAACTGGTTGTGTGTTGTCCTTTAGGTTAGCTTCTTTCATAGCTGCCATTACACCTTATCACTTACACATTAGCATACACTGACCTAGCATAACATTATGGAGGCTGACAAGTGGAGAAATTAACACAATCTTCATCATTACATGGGAAGGATCTGAGCTATTGTGTTCTGCAGTGGTCAGTGTCTTTATAAAATTGTGAAAGATTAAACAGCCCATATTATGCTATTTTCTGATCTGTTTTAATGTAGTTTCCTTATCACAAAGAGTTGTGTTTTGTGTCATTCACACATGTTAGAATGAGTTCTTCTCTCAAACAGAAAACACTCTGTTCCACCTTGTGATGTCATGTAGTAATACAGGAAGTGCTCCACTGTGTTTTTAAACTTCATACACGTTTACCTGAATCATTTGGATAATTTCATCCTTACTATTGCCAATCTTAAGAGTGTTCTCGTCTGGTCTTAAGTCCCACTTTTACTCTCTGGCTTTTAATACTTTATGAGTGTTCTGGTCCTTTGTGTCTTTTATTTATTTTATTTTATTCTTTGTTTTATCATTTATAGTTTTATATATTTTAACAGTTTTTATTTATTGTTTTACTGTCTTTTATTGTATTAATTTGTCTGTGCAGCACTTTGGAAACTTCTTGTTTATAAAATGTGCTATATAAATAAAGTGGATTGGATTGATTAAAGGCAAAAGGTAGCTGTTAAAAGCTTCTGCTTCATGACATCACAAGGTGCAACAGAGCATTCTGAGCTTTGGAGATGTAGACAGACTAATACTAAAGGATTACTCAAACATGTTTGAATGAAACAAAACAGACGTCCAGGCAGGTTTTTAAGGAGATAACAACATTCTAACATGACTTAAAGCTCACAAGAGTCAATTTTGCATAATATAGGATCTTTAAGGTTATTTTGTTTTGGAAAATGTTGAAATTGGAGTATAGTGTTACATAGCATAGCAGATGGCCATAATGTTATATCTATGTCTACCCAGATGGCAATGGCTGCATATATGTTTACTTCCCCTCTCTTATTTGAATGACAATAGAGGCAATCTTTTGGCATGGAAGCCTGTTTAATAATAATACAAGGATCATGGTTTTATCAATGGAGCCTCTGTTAAGGATATGGGGATGAGATTTACCGCCATTTCCCTGGTTCAGCAAAATAAATATACTTGGGTTATGGATGCAGAATCTCTATGCATTTTTTTGTTTATGGTAAGGTCTTTATTTTTACTGCATGAGAGCATACCCATAGTGTTTATGGTCAGTTATAACAATATTATATATCACTTTCTATGTCTAACTCATAACAACTACCTGAATTATAGCAAAGATGAATAGATTTTTTAAATTGCAGGTAATACTAGATGTCATGTATCAAAGTATCCAGAAGGAGGAGCACTTCTCTGCTGCCTTGACTCCTATTATTAATCTATATCCAGCATACGTTTTTAGATGCTGTGAGGGTTACTCGCGTGCCCAGTGACACGTGATTCTCATATTCCTTTCAACAGTTGCTCATAAATGTTGCATTCATTCAGATTTGATTATTACATGTATACATCAGCCCCACTGCCACGTTATGTTAAGAAGATGTATTTTAAATTTCCTTTGCAGAGTAATGTGTATGGAGATGAGTTGCTGACACAGGCGAGATTGCACAATACGAATGTAGCAGTAATTTGTGTTAATATAAATATTTATACTCCTTAAATGCCTCATTAAAACCATTAACCATATGGCTATACCTCAATTTGATTAATAGTAAGGCGTGTTGCCAGTTATGACCGCATTACCAGTGAGAAGATGTGGCAGAGGTTGTTTCAAAGTGAAATTCAGCCTCCTGTGTAATTTTGGGCTTTCAGGGTCACACCACCTGCTGTTGGAAAGACGAAAATTCTTATTATTGCCCGTCCTTCGTCCATTCACAATGACATAAACATATTTATCAGCATGGGATTGCAGTTTGTTGCTTTATTTCAAGAGTCTATGATCTGCGAGCACAGAGGAGGCAAGGAAGGAAGGAAAACAAGAGTGGGATGAATTATAAATTGTGGAGAGAGAAAAAGAGAGGGAGGGAGAGAGGGAGGGGAGCTTCGTAGCAACACAGAGTTTTAACATTTAATGATTTTTTGCCAATGCAGCAGAAAAAAGACAGATGCAAGCATGTCATTGCACGTGTTAATAAGCCAATATGCACCATTAATAATCTCACACAGCGCCATTGGTATTAAGCAAAATAAATCATGATGGAATATAGGTTGCTGCTACTTTTGTATTCAACTTCTATTCTACTTCCTAGTTGTGCCTCCTCCTGTCATTCATTTATTCATTTTGTCTATTTTTACCACCACACAGGAGCAAGTGGCAGCTGCACAAGAAAAGAAAGCACTCTTTTGGAGTTAAGATCTTTTATAGAGGAAATAATTAGTCCACTGTTAATACATCTCTACATGACAAATCCTTGCAAAATGATAAATGAGATTTTCTAATTTAGGGACACGGTGTAATATAATATTCAACAATTTTGTGCATCTTTCTCGTGGCTTGGATTTGGGTTTCGGTATTTCAGCGGCACAAATGATCCAGTTGTGACTTGGTGTTAACAGTGCGATCAGTAGATATTTATATATGATGTTGGAAGATGGAGACAGATACTGCTAGGGTGGAGGAGAGTAGGGGGAGGGAGAGGGAATAGGCACGGAGAAGCAAGCATCAGCTCCTCAATGTAAGCCCTGAGAGGTGAAGGCAGTGCACTGGAATAATAAAACCCAGCTTTTTAGCATGGCATGGAAACCGTTTTTGGAGGCGCTGTGATCTTGAAGGACCTGTAGCTTAGAGGGGCCAGCGGACACTTTGTTAATGCGCTAGATCAGAGGCGCGCGGGTTAGAGATATTGAGAGCCGGAGCGGGAGGGGGTGGAGATCGTGGTGAGATTAGCTAGTTTCTGTGCACACCGCGCTGTTGTACTGGGGAGCGGCACGAGGCAACGGGGAGAGCTGGAGGCAGTCATATGCAGCAGTAGCGCGCAAGAAGAGAAAGCTGTTTTTGGGATCTCGTAGGGGGGAGTTTTTTGGGGGGGACAGCGGGAAGAGCCGGTCATTAATGCTCTCTCTGTCTCTCTGCCGTTGCTTTGCAGGAGTGGTGCCAGCCAAGAGGAGTCCGAAGCTGGTGGTAAGTACTAAAAAACACCTCCTATCTTTTCCCTTCTTTGTGTAAGTGCATGTTCGCTCCACTCTGGTGAGGAAAGCAGGGCTATTTTAAGAACAAAGGATAAACAGATATGATAGTTCTGTGATGTGCGTCTGCTACTTTTTTTCTCACTCTTCTGTCAGAGTCACTGCTCCCGGGCGTTTCAAGTTTGTCTCTTTGTTGCTTGTTATATCTATCTTCTCTATTAGTGCTGCATAGCGTTTTGTGAAACATGTGGAAATGTGCCATATAATAAGAAAGTAGATAATATAATAACGCAAATTTTAACTCTGGAAGTTCAATTTGATTAAAGCTGGAGTGTTAATCTACTACATATATTGTAAACAACAGCTCAATTGTAAGAGTGGGACCATGTGCCAACCAGCAATTCATCAGGTCTTAATTAGTCCAGGACTAAATCAGAATTAAAGCAGATTCAAAGAATAAATACTTGCTTTATATTGTGTTACACTATGCTTTTCCATATGACCTACTCTTAGCCTTGCATAGATCAGTTACATTAGTGATCAGCTATTACAGAGGGTAGTGTCTCCAGGAATACTTCAAGGTATTTACTTTAAAGGTAAACAATACCCAAGAACAGTAGATGTGTTGGAGTTGCAAGGATATGACCTAGAAGTGCTCAAAACTTTATAAGGTGATTGCAACAGTCTCTATTGGGAGCTGTCCTCGCACTACACCCACAAAATCCACAAAGAGGACACAGAGCGATTTATTTTTATAACTCATCTGGACCTGATCAGATAATCAATACAGAGAAGACGCCAGGGTAGTTTTAAATGACTGTCACCCGGATTCACCCCTGTACAGACCGAGATGTTAAGGCGTTTTTACTGCGGACAAACTCAGCCAGAGCTCATTAGTGCAGGGTTCACACAGAAGAAGGAGAAGGCTCTGATCCTGCAGCTCTTGATCGACATTAAAAGCCTGTGCTGCAGTCGGCTGGATATTTGGGATTAGTTTGAAGCAGCATCAGTCAGAGCCAGGGGAGTTACCTATTCACATCACACAGCACCAGGGGCGGAGGAGGAGCTCTTTGGACGTAAAGGAGGACTGTGTGCTGTTTGGACTGTAATTATAGGCGCGTCAACCTTTAATGAGACAAGCAGCTCCTAATTATTTTAAGGCAATACTGATAGTCTGATACTACTATGCAACAGGACAGTAGGGATTAGATTGAGCCAAAAAAACAACAAAAACCTAGACTAAGTTTTTTGGCAGAGCTCAAAATTCTAATACTGCTTTTGCTAATGCTTTAAAAAATCAATATAGTTATCTAAAGCTTCCAAAATATTCATATCACAATCTTCTTAGAGCCATATAACGATTTCGACTTGATCACGATTCATGATTTCTCATTATGTTTAAGCAGTAACTAAAACTATCTGCTGTTTCTCAAAGTTTACTCTTCTCTGTGATTGGTTAAATCCACCTGTCATTTACTCAGAGCAGGATAGAGGTGACCAATAGGACGAGTCTATTTTTGACAATAGAACCGCATTATTAAAAAAATCGTAATTAAAATATGACAACCAAAAAAGCAAGTCGTAAAAGGGATTTGATTTTGAAAAGGCAAAATATTTGGGCATGTTTGTTAGTCCCAAATTGAATAAAGGTATTTATTACATGTGAAGTATTATGCCAAAAAATATAAAATATATTATTAGTAGGGATGTAACAATAACCGAAATATCGTGATATTGTATCTTCAGAAGACTTAAAATAGTATTGGAAATTAATAGTTTTGGTGATTTTAATGCTTTTCTTTGTGATTTTAATGTCTTTCTTATTGTGTAAAGTACTTTGAATTACTTTGTGTATGAATTGTACTATACAAATAAACCTGCCTTGACTTACTACAGTGCAGCAATAGCTAAAAATCAGAGGACCATGATCCTTTGCTGTCTCAGTTCAAACTACATGAAGAAATAACTGTTATTAAGCACTTTTAAATCTTAATTCTTCGTTATAAGAGTACTAAAGGCTTCCCCAAGGCTTTTAAAAAGGATAAAGTAGCATATTCAAAGTTTTGTTAGCCTCCACAAAATATCACAATAAATATTGAACTGTGAGATGCATATTGTGAAAATATCGTATCGGGGGATTTTGATATCGTTACATCCCTAATTATTAGTCTATATATTAGTCTTAATCTATTCTGATTATAGTGTAAGTATAGAAATTTAACTTAATACTGTTTTTTTAATATATTGTAATCAAGGACAATTACAAATGGGTACCAGGTTGCTGAGTTGGACATGGTAGACCAGTAATAGCTCTGTAGCTCACTGTCAGTTCAGATTAAGCTTTTTTGCTCAGAAAAAGACCACGTCCCCCTGTGTGGTGTCACTGAAATGTCACGCTGCACGCCCCAGACAAACTGCTCTGCCTCTAATTTAGAAGCCCTCATATTAACTCATATGCAATTGTCAATTGTATATGGTCATTAAGATCATTATAAAATATTACAAGATTACTTTGACCCTTTGTTTCAGGCAGCTGACGTGTGGGAGGCTGGTTTATCATTTATCATTCATATGAGCTCAAAATTATTCACTTGTCAGTAATTGAATTGTCCCAGTAAGACTAATTTCTGACAGGAGCTGCACAGAGATGTAATGGGCAATCTCACCCTGCATGGAAATAACAACACACAAATGACTCTAGTAGGTTCTGCAGCATCTGAAACAGTGGAGTATATTACAGCTGTGGCAATTCATAACGTGTTATGTGAAATGGTGACTCCATGTTGCCCCCTACTCAATGAATGTGTGAGGCATGTGTGCATATATGTCAGTGGGAATAAGGGAAAGAAGATCGCTGAATAAATTACAGTGTGCTACAATTAGAGATGGACAGATTCAACTTTTTTCAGTTCTGATACAGATTCCTATACTATTGCTTGAAATGTTTGCTGATACCCAATATCAGCCAATACCAGTGTAGAGGCTGAAAATAGCATTTATTTCCTTAACCCACGTGCACCCCTTTAAAAACAGTTACACCTGTGGTCCTTCATGACAAAAATGTACATTGAAAAAGAATACCACAATATTTTTATGCAGTACAAATGTTTTGTCCAACTTTATACAAATGTCTTCATTTACTTCTGCTCTAAACATACATACCAAATATTATATCATATTTTGAAATTGTAACACATTAAATGCCAGTTTTGTTTGCGAAAGTCTCAAGTTATGTGCATGAAAAAAAAAAAAAAAAGATTTTTTCTGTATTAAAAAAAAAAAAAAAAAAAAATGCATTTTCTAATATCTACGTCTCTGGCCTTCATTGTGGACTAATATGTACAAATGTCTTTCTATTGATATAACCTTGTAATGGAAAATACACAGTTAAAATAAAAATATCAAAAAATTCAAAAAGAGACTAAAACTAAAAATGTTAAAGGGATTTCAACACCAAAGAATGAAAAATAAATCAAAAAGTTTAAATAAACTGGCAAAGTTATGTAAACATTTTGAAATGACGTCAATGGGACAAAAATGTACCTAAGGACCACAGGTGTGAGTATTTTGATTATAGACCATTTAATTAATGTGATCTTGAAAAAAGCACAGAAATTATAAATACATCACAAAATACACAAACTGGCCAATTTTGGTGCTATTTGGTGCAATACGGCCAAAGTTATGCTAAAAACGAAAAGGTGTGATGTACAAAAATGTACCTAGGGGTGCTGGAGGGTTAAACAAAAATAAAATGACACAGAACTGATCCAAATATGTATATAGCTGTTATTTGTCTCTCAAATAACTACATAACAGCTTGGTATAAATAAAAGTTACAACATTATGACACTTTCTGGGCTCACTATGACCAGTAAATAGTTTTATTACATCAATATATATATCGTCTGAATCGATATTTGGAAGCTAGCAAATCGGATCAGTGCAAAACTAGTTACAATTATAGTGAGAAGAAATATTTGTTGATGATTCAAGATTGTTTATTAGACAAAAATACTTCTTTTTTTTTAAACTTTCATTCAGATTACAGTGTCTCTATGTAAGTGATCAGGTTTATGAAATCAAACTTTCAGAAGGTGTTAATTATATTACAAAATTAAACTAAATATTACTTGCACATAAACTTATAGAGAGGACTGTCAAATCCAAAATGCAGATCACATTTGAAGATAGGTGAAGAAAAGCTGAAAAGAAAGAAAATAATATGTAAAAAGACCAAGGACACATATGTCTGTTTATGCCATCATTACCATTGAGGCTGGTATGGAGGCCATTTACATTAAACAACACAATGTTCATGTCCATAAAAATCCAATATCTTTGTTCATTACATTCCTCCACATTTCAATCCCATCTCTGTCTGAAACCATGGCGATGCGTCACCATACAGGAGGCTGTTTGAGTGTCGAAAGAAGATGACCTTGGCTATTTTTTTTCTTTCTTTGTCAACATTTCTTCTCCTCTGCACTGACTCACAGCTCACATGGAGTATTAGTCACACAGGAGATGGACATTAAGCCGTGATTTAAATATTATATGTCAAGAAAGCCATTGTAATGCGATCTCCCATTGCCAAATATTTAATTCAAAGTATTAAATGGTATTCAGTAGGTCCCATTCATTCATTCAAAAAAATCATCATAATTTCAGATTGAGGATGGAGCGACAAATTCTATCATTGAATAGCATCTGGCCTTCTTATTCTGTTTTAACCAGTGGCTCATTTCAAAAATCCAAACTATTACAAAACACAAAATCATGATGTGGTACAGTTAAACGTTAAAATTACACTATTTTCTGATCTATGCTATAATGCTGTTTCCTCATCTCAAACATACTATACTAATACCGGAGTTGTGTTTTTTTTCATTCATACATGTGTAACTCACAAACCCTGCTTTTTTAGGCTGAGGTTTTCTCAAACAGAAAACACTCTGTTCCACCTTGTGATGCCATGTTTTAAAACTCCATACACCTTCACTAGAATCATCTGGATGATCTCAGACAATCTTTACTGACCAAATGTAAAAGAAACTGTTAACCTGAGAACTACCGCTACATGACAATCCAAGGTGGGACAAAGCATTTTGAGTTTTGGCGATGTACGGACAGACTAATAATAAAGCGTTACTTAAATATGTGAGAATGAAACAAAACACAAATTCAAGTATGTTTTGAGGAGGTAACAACACAACTTACAAAACTCAGTTTTAGATAATATAGGACCTCTAAGACTTGACATTTCTGAGACAAAGTAAAATATGACACAATATTCAGTATTGCAATGCTTTTTTCCCTCAAACTACACAACTCTAACTCTCACCTGTCTAACTGTATTTTCAGCACCAGTTAGAGAGGAAGGACAGCCAGAACAGCTCCCAGCACAGTGTCTGCAGCCATCGCAGCGCCCACACAGATTCACCCAGCCACCCGCTGCCCTCTGCCATGCCCGGGGAGGTGGTGGCCCAGCCCCCAGCCGCACCCACACAGCCTCTGCCCGGTCTGCCCCCCCTCCAGGACCCCAGCACCGATGGGACCCTCACGCTGCAGAAGAAACCAGATCCTTTCAAGATCTGGGCCCAGTCCAGGAGCATGTACGAGAGCAGATGTGAGTACTGGGGTTTACTGAGGTGGATTCAATCACTGCTTCAAATTTCCTGTTAAACCCAAGGAATGTTCCTAATTTTAAATGTGCATTGTGTAATTTTTCTGGTGGAGTGTCCGTCAAATGTTTTTCTCCATGGAGATATTATTATTTTGTCTGAAATTTTTCGCAGTATGGTATTAAACCTTTCTATCTTCATGGAGATCAAACCCTACCAAGTTACAGGTCAGGTCTGTGGAGAGGCAACCCCGCTCACAGTCAGAATGCCTGTTTATCTGGGTGTTTTTGCGCTATAAAACCACCTATAATTGAATAAATGTAAAATAGAGCTGTTTACTGTCATACTGTGGAATATTCCCGGCAAAGCAATGGCATCTCCATAGAAACAAGCATGACTCAACACCAGAAAAGTTACAGAGTGTAGCTTCATTATTCAAAAACTCTCAAAAAATCAGAAAAATATGAGTTCCACAAAATTTTCACAACTAAAATTCGGGTCTTTTTCCATCTAGTTTTATGCTGCATGTTAATCTACAAACTACTAATTCCCTTCTAGATTGGACAAGTTAAAACTTCTGTATGTCTGACTTTGCTCAGTGGTGCATTGGGAAATTCCTTTTATCATTTGTGACTTTTTGAAACCCAAACACCAAAGAGTGTTTAGCAAACGGAGACAGCCAAGTGCTCCTCCTAAACAGCGGTTCACTGTGTGAGTCAGCTCTGGTACAGTCACATAAGGTGCCTCTTCATGTGCCCTTGAAACAGAGCTGCAGAGGTAACAGTTGCATACAAAAACACACAGTTGGGGGCATCCTGTTTAATCCACAGAAAACTTGGAAAATCACAGTAGCTTTTGCACTTACTGAGAGGTAGTATAAAGCAGTTATATCTAAACATACAGAAGGTGCTTAAAGAAAACGTAAAATATGTAAAGTCCATTATCAGTAACTAACAGCTCGCCAACTGGCTTGTGAAATATGAAGAAAAAATATGCAGTATATGGATTTTTTGTCCCTCCAAAGAGAAATGTTAATATAATTTATTGATTAGACAAAGCTCTGGCCTTGCTATAGTGAAATAGTACTAGTAGCGGTATGAATAGTAGCTGAAGGTTTTGTTGTGGACAAAAACTTTGTGAAGCTTTCTAAATTTATTTTTATTTTAGCTTTTCAATTTTAGGAACATACTAGTATATAACACAAACAAAAATAGACAAAAAAAATAAACTCCCAAACCCAACTTTCTCTCCACACTCAACACTAAAACTCCACAAACTCCACTGGGTAAACAAAATATCAACTGTCAGTCAAATCTAGACCTGTCAAAATGTTCAAAAAAGGTGTCCATATAAGCTCAGAGTCCAGTCGTTTCCCTCTTACAGTATAGAGCATTTTTTCTGAACTGTAGTAGAATAACAATTCCTACATTTTGACAATATTTTGAAGTAACCATTCAGACTTTTTAATTTCGAGGCTTTAACTAGATCAGCTTTCCTATATCACATTTTTGGTTTAGATGCTGTCCAGGTTGGTTAGGCATTATTTCATATTGAATAATACATCAGTGACTTGTGTTGTAGCTGGAGCAGAGGTTTTGTCCAGTCTTTTCACTTGACAAGCTGCTGGGTGCCTGTGCGCAGCGTTGGTTAATAATTATGGCTTGCCTGTGTAAAAATCTAGGACTGAAGCTGATTAAATATTAACCAGGCCCAGTGAGAGGCTCTTTAAGCTGAAGCTGATTGGTATATGTGTTTGATAACCCCTAAAGGAGCGGCAGACCCCTTTTTGAGTCAGCAGGGAGGTGTGGAGACAAGATCAAACAACAAACTCAGCCAGAAACAAAGATGTTTGGCTCAAATCACACACAAAAACATGATGGAAATATGGCTTTATAGAGCAATGTCTCCTATTAATAAATCATATATAACAGAGGATCACCAAAGTCTTATTTTTATGGTTTCTGAAATATTATTATTTTAAAAATGCACAAAACTATGAATAAACATTTCAGGTTCTAAAATATTTTAAAAAATACAAATATCATAGTGCGGTAATTGCTAAAACTGCCATCTATCCATAATTTGATAAGCAGGCCTCACTGACATTTATGCTTTTATGTAAACAGGCGCACTGGTGTGGGAATAGATAATTATGCAGCCAATTTACATAAGAGACAGAAATAGATTGAAGTTTGGTGGAAAGCCCAAGTCCTTGCTGAGACCGCAGTGAACCAAGATATGTCCAAGATTAAGGCAAACTCAGACCAGTTCAACTCTATTAACACATAATAGAGGAACCAGACACAGTAGTCTCAACATACATTAGGAAATCAAACTCTCTGAATAAGTAAAGTGAAGTTAATGTGATGTAAACTGGCAGATAAAGGTTTAGGTTCACTTTTTGCAATTGAAATGACTTACTTTTGTTTATAAAATTGTTACTATTCTTATTTTCTAGTTATTTTCAAACTGGATGATCCAAATTTTCCATCTCAAAGATCATTCAAACAAAACTGATGCATCCATTCTGAAATATACCAAAAATGATAAGTCAAAAGTAGAGGTGGGGACTTGCAAGTCGTGACTTGAGTCAAATTTGAATCACTATTTTTAGGACTTGAGACTTGACTTGATAAAATGGACTAAGACTTGGGACTCGACTTGGACTTGTAGCTTAATGACTCGGGACTTGAGTCAGACTTGAGGCCAGTGACTTGAGAAGACTTGATGCTTCTCCTAAAAATATATATGGTTTTAGAAAGTACTTTTCTTTTTACAGTTGATACATGTGGTGCTAAATTTTAAAGGAACACACTGGAACATGACCCTTCCACTCTATTTGTTACTATGGCAACAGTAACTGAAGTACTGTGATGTGGTATCCTCAAATGTACTACAGTTAAATACAAGAAAACAGAGGGAACTACAGAGAACTACATGACAAAATAACTGTTCTTTAGCACTCTTAAATCTTAATTCTTTCTGTTCTGACCGTAATACTTCACACTCTAGTCAAGACATTTAAAAAGGAAAAATTAGCAATTCTAAAACTCTTATATAAATACTTATATATAAATAAATCATGGCTTTTTAAGTACAGTTTAGTTTAAAATTCATATAAATAGCAAAAATCTAAGCTATATTTGGTACTTTTTTGGTTTAAAGACTTGAAATGACTTGAAGCTCAAAGCCGATGACTTGGACTTGACTTGTACTTATGGGCCAGTGACTCAAGACTCGACTTGGACTTGCCTATCTTTGATGTGGGACTTGAGGTCAAAGACTTGAGACTTACTTGAGACTTGCAAAACAATGACTTGGTTCCACCTCTGGTCAAAAGTATGAGTTTTTTTAATAGACATGCATTTTTACTTCAAAGATGAATTATTCTTTCCATCACTCCCTCTAGATGACAGACACAGGTTTATCCACTTTCTGAATGCACCCTTTTCTCTGTGATTGAGACTGTCACATAATTCCTCTAAATAACAGCTTTGTCTGGGATAGATTGAGAGACTAAAAAAAGTGATTTATCCTTTAAAAAGCCTAAAAACCCAGTGTTACATATTGTGTGTTACTAGAGCAGAGGCCTTTGCGTGTGGGGCGGGTGGACAGCAGGCGGTACCTCCTGCGTGCGGCTGCTGGCCTGGTGGGCTGTGTCCTGCTCCACAGTCTGCTCAGAGGCAAATGTGTGGGCTGAGAGGAGCAGTCACAGGGAAATGAAGAGACTCAGACACACAGCAATACAAAGTGCATAATAATGAGGCCAGGAGATTATTAAGTCTTCAGTGCTTGGATCTGATGCAGCTGCAGTGGCAGTGGTTTGGCTGAAGATAAAGCAGATTCACCCATTTTGATTTCTGTTGCTCTCTGTAGATGTAGTGAAAATGTGTGGAATTTATGTTGGATGTTGTGACTGTATTAGACAATTGTGCTGTAATTATTAAGCAAGTCAAAATGGCAATATAAATTTTTTTAAACATCATTTTTGTCTATGCCATTTAATAAAAAAATAGGTCTAATCTTTTCCTCCAAAGCTTGTTGTCACTAAAAATTGGCTGTGGGTCTCTCGGTTAAAAAGATCCAAATTCATTTTTTGATCACCTGCTTGTTTCTATGGATATGCCATTGCTCTGCCTGGAATGTCCCACAGTATGACATTAAACTGCTCTACTTTACATTTATTCAGTGGTTTTGTAATCCAAAAATAATTTCCACAGATCTGACCTGTAAATTGGTCTGTGACTTTGTACTGTGAAACATTCCAGACAAAGCAATAACATCTCCATGAAGAAAAGCATTTGACAAACCCTCCAGCAGAAAAGTTCCTCAATACACCTCTAATAACTACAAATGAGAGAATATTAATCTTAATTAAAATTGATTAATTTCAAAGCCCTAATCCACTGTACTTTTTACTTTTTTTTGCAGTGCCCGATTGCCAGGAGCAGGACATTTTCCTCTGGCGCAAAGACACTGGATTTGGTTTCCGTATTCTGGGTGGGAATGAGCCTGGTGAACCGGTGAGTACCTCTTTAAGCATCATTACTTAATTTGACTCAAACATCTTCTACATCGGATGTAAATACAAGTAATATACTAATTGTGGACTGTTGGTATCGTTAGTAGTAGTTTTATTCGGTCATTTTGCGGCACTACAAAACAAAACAACGCAAAACATAGACTACAACCCCATGGATCATGACCGAAAGGGTTCAGGCTGAAGTAAAAAGTATTTCTAATGCCTAACCCTATTAAACAATGACAGAATTCCAAGAAAGAAAAGCAGCGTATGAACAGCAAGTTTGCATTTACAATTTCACTTACGATTTGCTGTATATATAATAGACAAAATACACATTAAAAAACAAAATTTAATGCATAATTCATTCCAGAGCTCTATATCTTTTTAAACATAATGCTTTACTTTTTTTAAAGGCTTCTACAATGTTTAATGATTTTTTACATCATCACTCAGATTGTTCTGTTGGTCTCAATCAAAAATTTGTAAAAGGTTTATCTAATGTTGCGACAGTAGCTCTGTTTGTCCTCTGATTCGAAGACTGGCAGTTTGAATCCAGCTCTCGACATAAACATCATTAGTGGAGCATTCATATCCACTGAGCCACAGATTGACGGTGCAATTCCAGCTCCGACAGATGAATGCTGTAGTTGTGTCCTTGGGCAAGACATTTAACCCACCTCGTCCCCAATGTTTGCGTACATTGGTGTATGAATGTTTGTGTGAATGGGTGAGTGGTTCCTTCTTGTTGTTGTTGTAAAGTGCTTTGAGAGGCTTGAATGTGGAAAAGCTCTGTATAATAGTTAATTTTGTCTTAGCATTTGTAAGTATGAGTAAATCGAATAACACTTGATTCCCCAATTCTCCTTGTAGTGCTCCTGAATATAGTTTTCAAAAGATGTCAGAAAGTATCATTTCCCACTGTGCTATGAGCCTCATATCAGTTATTGCTTGTCATTTGTGGCTGCATGCTAGTTATCCGCCTGTTTCTGTAAGAGGTGCGCTCACTCCCACACACAACGCCGAAAGCCATGTTTGTTTGAAGCTAGAAAACAGGCAGCCTCAAATGCAGCACTATAAAGATTTAGAAAACAACAAGTTCACAAATCAATACAATTAGATAAGATACCCTTATTGCTTTGGGCTTTGGATCTTCTCAATTGGAGGTTTAGAGAAACTGAAATACATTATGTTTTTTTTTTTTTTAAATATGGTGTTAGTTTACTTATATTTCTTTGTCAAATTATAGAAAACTCAATTCAAAAAGTGAGAATTAATGGTTGGAACAAGGCCAGCATCTTGAAGTGGGCAATTTATGTGATCATACTGTATATTTGTGGAAAGACTAGTGTGTTGATGAATTAGCTGTCTCCTATACAGTTCTATCAGGGACACTGTTTGTACTTGTTACATTCTAAATCTCTATTAAATTAAATCGTTAGACTTTAATAGCCAATGCCACCATGTGTAGAGTCTGCAGTCTTTTCAAACCTAGGATAGCTTTCTCTAACATAGAGTATAATGAAGCTATGTGCATCAAGAGCGTATACTGTATAAATGGACATAGTTTACCTTGTAACCGCCGCATTCCAAATAGGAAGTGAGCATGGGTGTACTTTTGGCTCCATCGATTCTGGTTCCAATTGAAAAAAACTGAAAAATTGTCACCTGTCTCTCTGTAACTGCTGCAATGAGCCTCGTCATTTTGGTCTTAAAATGTTCGTATTAACCCACTTTCCTTTACTTTACTTTCCTGCTTTTATTTTGCTATTTTGTCTGTAAATAAATTTGTCTTCCTAATGTGGAACTCGGCTCCAAATTCTCCCCTTAACTGCTAGCTTTGAGAGCTTCATTTGTCTGGAGCCAAACACTATGAGTGACGTCTTGGGCTGAACTATCATTCAGAAGTTGCCGATATAATACATACCTCGATACACAGGCCACGATACAATACATATCTCGATACAGTGAGCTTGCAATTCGATATAATTCAATACGATGTATTCGATTTGATACGGTACAATAAAAATAGAGGCTAAATCATAGCTGTGATACTAAAAGTCTTTGTTTAACCACTTCTTGTGCAAAGTTTATTTGAAACACAACGATTTTAATCCTCAAAAACAGTGAAAATATCAAATGAGTCGCATAAACGAGTTTCCTTCCACTAAACAAGCAACAAAACTGTAGTGCTGTAATAAAATAATTTTGTAAAATATACCAAAAAAAAACACTCTTGGCAATATATTAATACAGCAGCCCACAATATTGATATATCTTATATGTACGATATATCGATATTTCAATATTTTTGCACATCTCTACTGACGTCACACTTCCTTTGTCCACTTTATATAGTCTATGATCAAGATCTATGACCATAAGGTGCAAACTCCTGCTTTCCGAGGCAAGATAAGAATTAAATTGGCCAACACTTGGTTTTGTAATCAAACTAAATAAACAATAATAGAACAGGTAAAAGATAATCATTACATGTAAATATGTGTTATGTTGTTTACCCAGATCTACATTGGCCACATAGTGAAGTATGGTGCAGCAGATGAAGATGGGCGGCTCAGATCTGGGGATGAGCTGATCTGTGTGGACGGGACTGCGGTGGTGGGGAAGTCTCATCAGCTCGTGGTGCAGCTGATGCAGCAGGCCGCAAAACAGGGCCACGTCAACCTCACCGTGAGGCGCAAGACAGCTGGATACGGAGGTGAGGGATAATGCCTACAAATGAGAAGAAAAGCTATATTAAGGCCATATATAAACTGCTCTATGACTGCTGTTTGGAACACATTTTTTTCTATTAAAGGGCTCATATTATACAAAAATGACCTCCCCAAAAACATACCTGGAGTTGTGTTTTGTTTCATTCACACATGTTTGAGTAGTACTTATTATTCTGTCTGCCTCTCCCAAGCTCAAAATGCTCTGTTCTACCTTGTGATGCCATTTAGAGGTAGTTTCCAAGCTAACAGCTACTTTTAACCTTAGGTTTAGTAGAGCGTTTTCTGTTTGAGAGAAATATGCAGGGTTTGTGTGTGTAAATGATACAAAATACAACTCCAGGTATGTTTTTGATGAGGAAACAGCATAAAATAAGAGAAAATAATGTAATGTAGGACCCTTTAAATATACCTGACTGGCCATTCTAATTGTTCTTCTCTTCTTTCTCAGTATCCAAAGGTGAAGGAGATGTCCCGCCCTCTCCGGCCTCTTCCCACCACAGCAGCACCCAGGCGCCAAGTCTGACTGAGGGCAAGCGCACTCCACAGGGCAGCCAGAACTCCCTGAACACAGTGAGCTCAGGCAGCGGCTCCACCAGCGGCATCGGCAGCGGGGGCGGAGGAGGCAGTGGGAGCGCCGTGGTCCCAGCCAGCCTCCAGCCGTATGATGTAGAGATCCAGAGAGGGGAGAACGAAGGCTTTGGGTTCGTCATTGTGTCCTCTGTCTCCAGACCGGACGCAGGCACCACATTCAGTAAGTCAAATACTGGTGATGTCAAAGATTTCTAGTCAGGTTAGGTTAGTTTATTTGCCATTTGCAGTTAAAAATTTTGAAAAACATGTGCAAAATGCTCAAAGTGCACCATGAGACATAAAAAAATAATCACATAATAAAAAACAAACATTACAGGCAAGCTACAAAGATTAAGTAAAATACTAAGGTGCTAAATTTTGATGTTTTGTTTTTAATTGTAGCCTAGAGGTAAAACTAGTAGGTTCAGATTGACTTGATATTATTTATACACCAAATGTAACCAGCATATACCACCCCTGCTTTTGTTTTGTTTTCCCAATTTGTCCTGACGTGAAAAGAGTAGATCCACAGAGAATGGTACTGAACTGTGCCCTCTTGTGGCCAAATTTCAATATTGTTTTAGTCCTTTCTCAATGATTTTCCTCTGTTTTATGGGGGGTATCAGAGTGAGATTGGACAGTCACACTCCGAGGTTACTGCGTTGCTGAGGGATTAGGAATTCTCTTTATGACGAACAGTATTCCCAAAGGATCACTATCTTCATCATCTCATAGTCACACCTCACTGCGCTAATTTACCGTGTAATTGAAGTCAACAGTCGTCACAGCTGTACCGGTTAGGCGTAGGATAAAAGCAGAAGAATTTTACTGTATATTTAGACAAACATTGTGGAGCCAACGTGGGCAGAGTGGCAAACAACTGAACTCAACATTTCTTATGTAAAAAGTAGTTATCCAAAGAAAATGTGAAATTATTGTTGTTATTGGAACTCCCCTTGAGATCGACCATTTTAAATTTGAGGGTGTCCTTTTGGTTTAAAAACTAGTCAAGCCCTACTTCGATGCTAGAACATAACAATAATACTGATACAGACAACATACAGCATATAAAATAGTGTACAAATTAGAATTTTTTACGTACTAGTAAGGCACAAAATCTATACCAAATGATAAAAAGCAACTGCCCTTCAATTTACTAACCTTTATAGTAGGTAAAATAATGCCAAAGTGTCCATTATTGTTAGTCATTATGATGATGCAGAGTTCACAAAATAATGAATGGGACATTGGTTACACATCGATCATAGTTGAGCAGAATTTAATACATTATTTATAGTGTCAGAGCGAGTCAACCAACAGATGTGAGATGACCTGAGCTACACACAACGTCACCGGTCTCTAAGAACAATAAATAGTTGCTGCATTTCCTCTTGTATTCAATAATGTGAAAGAGTCTGTCTACATTACAATACTGGTGTATTTTTTAGCCACTACCTTAAATTAGATCGATTGATACGTTGCAGTGACATCATGCAGGGGGTGTTCGACATGCATCTCTATGTTCAGCAGTTACCATGGAGACACAATGCACACATTAGCACTGACAATACACCGTCAAAGGTTTTAAGATGAAAATACAAAATGGATTTAAATAACACATTTTCAGGAGCCTGTGATCACTACGAGCGTTCATTTAGGTGTTTGATTTTCAACAAAAAGAGTGATCAACTGGAAACTGTTGGCTAATGATGGCCTGTGATTGCAATTGTATGTGTGAGAGATTTGTTTAACAGCACAAATCATCTCACCTCTTGTAGTTCCAGTACAGTCAGTTCTTTCTGGTTAGATTGTGTTAAAACAAAGCTTATATTAAAGTCTAACCTGAGCTTCTAACAGAGCAGTGCTTTCAGTTAGCATCACACCCCCAAGGAGTGTTGATGGCGTCTGCTGTAAAGTATCAATACAAAGTAGATTATTTCTGCCTCACAAAAGATTACTACCAACTGTAAAATATTCAGTCCAGAGTTTTTCCATACACATTTCTTTTCTTTTACTCCACATATACAACATTAAAACGAGAAGTTCCATTTAAAAAAGGTGACTATAAATACTTTTAGCGTGTGATAGTGCCACAACATCTTTCCCAGTCTTCTCTAATGGAGAGCAGCCATTTGGGACACTAAGCTGACAGAGATGTGTATTTCTAAAAACATATAGTATATCTCTGAGGATGTGTAACAGTGCGGAGGAGAACAAAGCACTTTTAGCTGATCCAAGCTCTCATACATCATAGATACAACAATATCTCTCTGCTCTGTCCTGCTTTAAGCCCTCCCTGGCTCTTTGGTGACTAGCAGAGAGAAGCCATTAAATCCCTGACACATGCAGAAATGTCCAATATCTCATTATTAGGATGGAGTGGTACAAAATATTTTCTTTAGAAACAAAGAAAGTATATGACACCACCTGCAAAGAGTGGAATGATGAAGCTCTTAAATTAGCTTCTTAGATCTTTAATTAGATTTATAGTCAGGAATTCCTAGTTGGAGAAGTGGCATGTTTTAGGTCCCGTGTCAATCATCACAAACTAGATACAAGCCTTTATTTGCGACACAAAGTACAAGAACAGCAGGAGAATGAAAAAACAAAGGCTATCAAAAACAAAGATGTGTAATTTTTAAAATAGACTTAAATCTATCAATTTAGCTGTAAAATTTGAATATACTTGGAACAGGGTCAATACTGGCTCATTTTGAAGTGTGGTAGCTGTAATCATATTTATTTAAATTTTTTGGGCAACTATTCCAATTATGGCGTGTAGTTTGCCTATTATGTAAGTGTCCTTCAATCGCAGTAGGATCTGTTAGTTCTCAGTGAAGGAGCAGTTGTGATCCTGAGTACAGAGTATTGATGTATTGCCAGACTGGAGGTGCTCTGGGACTGACCACTGCCATATGATTCACACTCATTGATTTACATGTCAGAGGGAGGGGGCAGGGGACAGCTCGTTCACCGCCCGCCGGGACCATCACTTCCAGTTTTGACATCACATCAATTGGCTCTCTTTTATACGGCATGTAGTGTTTTGCATCTGAACATCTGAGCTCATGGCTTTTCTGTGGGGGAATATGGGACTCATTCATATTGATGGTTCTCAAATTTTTCAGCAGCTTTTGAAATGCAGGTTCAGTGTAACATGTAATAACAAAACTGCAGTTTTTGATCTGTTCTGGTGTAGTTTCACTTTAACATTAGCCTTCAGAGTCCTACCAGATTTAAAACATATTATTCTAGGTCTAAATTAGGGCTAAATTGATCATAAAATGGAACTGATACTTACTATAGTAGTTCTAAGCAAGGACTAACCCAAATAAGACAATAATGTGGACTGACTCTAAATTCAACAAATTAAAATACAGAGAAGTCTGTGTACCACCTTGCAAACCACTAGTGGTACACAAACCAGTTTGACAACCACTGGTCTAATATCTTAGAATTTAGTAAAGCTTATTTTAACAGTGGAGATTTGAATGCCAAATATCAAATCAAATTAAATGTATTTGTATAGCACATTTAAAACTGCCAAAGCTTACCAAAGTGCAGAACAAGATTTACAGTGAAATAAAACATACAAAAGGCAAATCATGCAGAATAATAATGATAAAAATAATAACAGCAAGGTGCCAAGGTGTCTCTTCCTAACCCTGGGCAAATGCCAAGGAGAAAACGTGCGTTTTGAGCAAAGATAAAAATAGTCAATAGTCTGACTAATAATCATTTCCTTCTTCTCTTTCTTCTCTCCTCCCATCTACCAATAACACCACATCCTCCCGTGAAAACAAATGTATCCACATCAAGCTGGAAATGCCTGCGTTGCCATGCCCCACAAAATAGGGCGTATCATCGAGGGCAGCCCGGCGGACCGCTGTGGGAAGCTGAAGGTGGGAGATCGGATTTTGGCGGTGAATGGCTGCTCCATCACCAACAAGTCACACTCGGACATCGTCAACCTGATCAAGGAGGCGGGAAACACGGTGTCTCTCAGGATCATCCCCGGTGATGGTAAAGCCCACATAGATGTTACACAAAGTAGATGTTTTATAATGCATCAGGCTCAGGAGTTATTCATGAGCGAGTGGTGGAGGGGAAGGACACTACTTTTGTTCACTGCATAACCACTTCTGGAGACCGTGAGCCTACATCTTTGTGACATGGTTGAAAAGAATTTACTAGAGTATACTTTTTTTTTACCCCAAAGTTTGGAACAGTGCATAGATGATAGCTACATCTTAATATTCAGTGTTTTTCCTTATTATTAGAATGTGTTTTTATTACACCTGTCAACTGTGAAACTCTGAGTCATATTTTGTGAGGTAATAATAATTAGACCCAGCAGTGAACCTAAGACAAATGATTATTGGTGCTATTGTTCAAAACAGTGATGAGCGATGTGTCCTGCTGTAGATACATGATATATACAAGTATAGAAAAACACAAGGCCTATTTAGGTTGAACCCCTTTGCTCACACTGACATCTAAATCACACACCTTGAATATTGAGTATTTTACAGGGAAGGTTACATTGTGTCGCTTTTTTGTTCTGCAGAATCTTCCAATGCTTCTCTGCTGACAAATGCAGAGAAGATCGCTACCATCACCACAACGCACACACCTCAGTCCGAGTCCCGGTGGGTTCAGCTCCAGCTTGGCTTACTATACATATTTTGTAGCATCTGCCTTTACATATGCTGTTTATACTTTTACAGGAATAACTCAAAGTCTAAAGGGGCCCCACCTCCTCCACCAACACAGAATCAGGTAAAGGTTAACAGAAGAAGAAAGAAACTGAACTATATAAGTTATTTGTGTCTGTGCACTATAAAAGCATATCCCCACATACAGTAGAGACACTTGGGATAAAAATCACAATTAACACCTGTGTGTATTGGTACTCTCCCCTCTGGAGGACAAAGAGAGTAACAGCCTATGTGAATGTTCAGTATAACATCTGTCCCACATCTGTCCCCAGGGCTTATTGTAGATTATTTGAAACAGTAATATATAACAGTAGAAACACACACACATACATCACATAACTCTACATCATTAATCATTAATCATTGAATCCTTCTGTTTTCCAGGATGCTGAGTTCTACTCTGTGGACCTGGAGAGAGACAGTAAAGGCTTTGGGTTCAGTCTGAGAGGAGGACGAGAGTACAATATGGACCTGTATGTCCTCAGACTGGCAGAAGATGGCGCTGCAGTCAGGAACGGGAAAATGAGGGTATGGAGAAGGCCTCTCTCAAATCCTCTGTACACAGAATAGGTTCTATTCACACTTGCGTCACAAACCAGGAAGATGTTTGGAAAGATGCAATTACAACTTCTAGCGGGCTCTGTTCTAGGAAAAATGAGAAAATGACCCAGTTTTCTTCATCTACTGTTTTCTTCATCTGTCGTTTTAGCGTTCCGTTATGTTCGGCTAATCAACAATTACAGCCATACCTCAGTTTTCATCATTTCCCCACTGACACACAACTCTGAGTGCACAATGGGTACATGTGATTAGAAGAGACGAGGGAACCAAATTCAAGATGATTCCAAATAGCACATACATATGCAGTCTTCATTTTACTGCTGATGATGTTTACTACAGTGGGTTTGAGCACATTGGGTCGGCGAGCCCAGTGTCAGGAACTACACCAGAAGTTGTAATCACATCTTTCCAAATGTCTTCCTGGTTTGTGACGTAAGTGTGAATACAGACTATTGGTGTTTTTCACATTCTGTGATGTAAGATCATTCTCCCAGATGAGGGCAATAGAATATTGATTACATTGTACTTTGTCATAAAATATCCAAAAAACAAATAGACAAATATTGAACCTGATCATTTCCGTCAATGACTAGACCCAAGAATTCACTTTACTGCAACAAAAATCGCCAACCCCCCATCTGTATTAAATATGTCTGTCCTATATAATATTGTGATGTCGTGTGAAACCCAGCAATAGACGACTCTGGCTTATGTTTCAGGTGGGAGACGAGATCCTGGAGATAAACGGAGAGAGCACAAAGAACATGAAGCATTCTCGGGCGATCGAGCTGATCAAGAACGGAGGTCGAAGGGCGCGGCTCGTCCTAAAGCGCGGCGATGGATCTGTACCTGAATATGGTACGTGCATGTTAGCCTTGACAGTTACCCTGTGAACATTATGTTACAATCAAAAATATATTAGATTATAATTGGTTAAATTGTTTTGTATTGTGCAAATACTAATTCAAAATCAATTACTTTGGATTTTATGGATTTCACTAACCTTCCATTCTCAACAGAAGTTTTGTCTTTCTCTTCTAACTCATATAAACAACATATCAATCATTTGTGCAAAATTGAAAATCACTAGCTCTGTCTTTATTGTGTACTTTAAAGGTGGGTTGTGGAACTTTTCTGGTGGAGAATCCATCAAATGTTTTTCTCCATGTAGATGTTATTGCTTTGTCAGGAATGTTTCACAGTATGGTATTAAACCTTCAACCTTAAACCAAATGTGGCCAAGTTACAGGTCAGATCTATAGAAAGGCGATCCTGCTCACAGTCAGAATGCCTGTTTTTCTAGGTATTTTTTCAGCTATAAAACCATCTGTAAATGAATAAATGAAATGTTGAGCTGTTTAATGTCATACTGTGGAACATTCGAGGCAGAGCACTGAATTATCCATGGAAACAAACAAACATAACTTTTCCACCAGGAAAGTTATGCAGTGCACCTTTTAATAGCTCTAACTTAAGATGACTGTGGTTTTGACATGTTTCTTTTCGATAAATTAGCCTAGAGTTTATTTAACCTTTTTAGTTTGTCTCTCTCAATAAGGACCCAATGTAAACCAGCTCTTGTCTGTATGTTTCTATGCCTCTTTTCTCTTTCTCTCTCTCTGTTTGTGTCTGGGCTCTTCCTCCTCTGCAGCGATGATGGCTCCTCATCTCGCTGTGGGGACTTTGAGGAATGACAAGATGGGAGAGCCCTGTTTCTACCTAATGGGCCAAAATCAGACCACGGTTTGTAGCCAAAAGTCTGTCCCAGTCCACCCCCCTTTTGTCATCTCTTTTCCTTTGGGTTTGCTCTGCCCCTCACAACATCAGGCCTTGCCCCAATGTTTTGTACATTTTGCAGGTCAGAGGTGGAAATAACACATTACAAACACTTAAAAATCTGTTTGTTATTTGTAATGTTTGAGTATAACTTTTCCTTAAGCTTATTTAAACACATTAAACATAGTCATAATATTAAAACCACTTAAACTAACTAATGATGAAGTGTACTGACTTGATTTATCAGTGATAGTTTAGTTTTGAGACCACATTCATCTGATGTCAACATCGTGAGGAGCAGATGTTTCAGCTTTCAAAATGCAGATACATATGCTTAATGATATGTTTGTGTTAATTAGAGGGAGAATTTGACAACCACAAGCTTCAAGATTCATATTGTAAATTAGTAGCTATACATATCCCCTTAAAACCCAACCTTTTGCAGCAGTTGTGAGCATTTTTTGCTGGTTTATGATAATATTCTCTTGTTAGATCTCATCATATCACTGAGCATCAATAACCGAGAACTAATTTGTACTCATGAGTGGTTAAGACAGTTATTATTTTTATTTTTAACCATATAACAGCACGTTACATTGTAGACTTCAGTTTGTTCCACCTCTGGTTACACTGAATGTGCTCCATTTCGTGTCATGCCTGATTTCAGCTGTGTAACATTTGTGAGTGTGTGCTGCTCTGATATATGGACAATTTTAACATTTTTAACATTGTCACGCACTTCTCCCTGACAGACCCTCACTCTTTCTAATGTGGCCACTCTCAAACAGTCATTCCTGCTTCTGCTGTTTCTTTGCTTTGATCGTCCCAATGGTGCACAGCCACATGTCCAACATTGGTTTTGAATGGTTCCTGTAGGTGTATTTTGTGTCACTGACATTCCCAGCTCATACTGCATATTGCTCACTCCATCCTACTGAACATCAATGCAGGTTTCAATATACTTTAAAATACAGTAGTCAACATCTGGAAAAGAGTCAAATTTCATCTAAATGTTTATGTATTTATTTTTTTTTTTTTATGTTATTAAAGAACTTGGCAATCAAAAGCTCAAGCATCAAATAAGAAGTACTGAAAGTAGATTTTTATGTTCACACGTTTATGTATAATCATGGTTCCCACAGCCATGGAAATCCTGGAAAATTCGTGGAAATTGAAAATGTCACTTTCTACGTAAATTCATGGAAATTCAGTCATGGAATTTTGAAAATTCAATGAAAATTCAAATGAAATGCTAAGTTATCATCAAGCTATTGTGATTATTTCTGAACATCTTTGCCTTTTGTTTAAAAGAGACAACAATAAATGCACTGACAATATTTTGAATGAAAAAACTATAATACCTAACCATAAGGTGAGTGGAAAGGGTTAACATTTCATATTGAGCCATAAAGTCATGGAAAATTCACTTAAGAAAAATTTTGAAATTGTGTCAGTGAAAAAGAGTGGGAAACTTGTAGAATGTTTGGAAGGGATAAGCCCTAAAATGTAATGATTGATACTTGGTACTTCTTATTTTTCAAATAATACCATGATTGCCTTTCTATAGATTTGATGACATTTTTGATCCACTTCAAATGTTGACTACTATATTACAAACCAACACATATGATGCACAGAAAGTATGCATGCCCAACAAAGGAAATGTAAATAAATATAAATAATAATAGACAGATGTTTCTAATCTCTCCCTCAGACGGCAGCAGTGACGGGTACCCTGCCACACCCGGGGCACAAAACTCTCCGGAAGTGAGGACGCTGCCCAACAGTCGATACCACACCTCATCGGAGTCCAGTTATCCACTCGATCTTCACAAACCATCACGGCAGGACGAGGCTGTGCGTGGCCGGACCAAGACCCGGGACAGGGACAGGGCTGGGACCGACCAGATACCGGACTACCAAGGCCAGCAATTTAACCCCCACCTTCATCACACCTGGAACAACAACCACAGTCAAAGCACCCCCAGAAACCAGTCTCCCGCGGACAGTAACGGCAGCAGCAGTGGCAACAAGAAGGGCAAAGGACGCAAGGTGAAGAAGTCCGAGTCGGAGAGCGGCATCTCGAAGCTCCTAAAGACTTTGCGGAAGGACAGTTCGGGGAAGAAAGCGGAGAAACAACGAGGGAGAGAGGCGAATACCAGCAGCTCCACTCTGGACGGCAGGTTTAGACTTCAGCGGCGCGGTTCACTCGATCGATCGCCCACACGAAAACGCGGCGCATCTCCAGACCGCCGACGCGCCAAGTCCATGGACCGGCGAGCAGAACGGGCGCAGAGAGACCGAACACCAGAGAGGGAATATGATGATGGTGGCTTCCTCGCCGTAACACCTGAGCGGAAACTGAGCGAGAGGCGTGTTATGAAGGACTCTGCAACACCGGGTAGAATGAGTGTGAGATCAAACAACAACTCTGATACTCTGTCGTACACTAGGGGGCGCACTCTTGACCGCCCCACCAAGAACGGCAACCTGCTGAGAGACTCCTCCTCCGAGAGATACAGAACGAACGGGACACCAGAGCGGAGGTACCGTGACTCTTCCCCTGACAGCACCTACAGCCGCGAGGAGCTGAACTACGGAGCAGCAGCGCCCCCTAGGCTCAAGGACTATTACAGCATGATGAAGAACAACGCGGCTCAGTACAACTTACCTGCCTACAACAACGCGGGCCACAATAATAACGCAGCGGGACGTGGATCCAACCAGCTCCCCGAACCCAAGCGCCGCTCGTACAAGGAGAGCCCCAAAGACCTGAGTATCTAGCGCCTCCTGTCTTTCTGTACAATACACTGGAAACGGACTTCACAGGATCTTATAAGTCTTGTGCTATTCGGTTGACTGATTTATTAATAATTGATTGATTTTTGGTTTAATCGTGATCTCCCCCATTACAGAGATTCATAAAACAGCAAAAGTACAATCCTATCTGTCCACACTGGTTGTTTTTCGTCATTGTTCTAGTTATTTTTTATCAGAGTTGTTGTACTATAGTAACGTTATTGTTATGTGCCTGCATATGAAATCAGTGATATTGCTTTTTGTAGGCATTTGCTGAATCTATGAATAGTTGTTCCCTCCGAGGCCTAAAAATGCTTCCAGTTGTGGTCATTTTTATAATTATGAAGTTTGTTTTCCCCATTTCAGACTTGCTTTACTGAACAAAACTATAGCACAAGACACTGTTGGTTCACAAAGACTGTGAAATTTACGTGCAAGTATCATGGTTATGAAAGAAATACTATATGACCATTTGGGGATTTTGTCACTATTTATTGTTCATTGGCACATATATTTTGAGCTCATTAAAAGTTTCAGGAAGGTAGGAACACACACTGTACCTGGGGAAGAATGCTGGACTCTTTGAAATGGCAGCTCACTGTATGCCTCTACACAACTGCTGCTCAAGTTTGAAAAATAATGTGTAAAAATATTGGCTAAATTTAATCTTTCCCTCTTTTCAAAACTGAATATCGCTTTTATCATAGCCAAAAAGATGTACTTTCAACTTCAAGGCTAAAGAAAAACTTTCAGAGAGATAAACACTATTGGTCCTAATTAGTCGCTCACCAAGTATACTGAGATATTTGAGCCAAGACTGCATTGTGCCAGAGAACCAGCTCCAACGCTGCCATAAAGATATAATATACCTTGTATGCCAAAAAGAAGTGTAAATTCCCCTGCACAAATGTACACTGTCTCTCATCAAACATAATATTATGACCACCACAGAATAAATATGTTAACATTTGGGCAGGTTTGACACTGATGATGGAAATTATGATACAAATATCTCAAAGCAACTCAAAATTGCATCTCTTGTTGAGTTCACAGTCTAAAATTGAATCTAAAATGTGGTAACCATAGACTGTATTCAGAAGTGGACTAACAGAGTATGAGTGTGTTCGGCTCCAGTCAAATGAAGCTCAAGGGGCTTGCAGTTATAGGAGTTGAATGTGGAGGGACAGGATTTACTCAAAAATTAGACAAAATAGCTAAATAAAAATACCAGGATCATGTAGAAGGGGTTAATATGAACATTTTAAGACTAAAATGACGCATCTCACTGCAGCAGTTACAGAGAGAGGGGTGACAATTTTTTAATGTAGTCAATTGGAGCTGAGTCATTGGAGCCAGAAGCACCCCATTCTCACTTCCTATTTGGAACGTGGTGGGTAGCAGGTCATGTCCATTTATATACAGTCTATGGTGGTAACATGAGATTTTTGTCGGATGACGGCATGACTAAATACACAAACACACAAAATTGCTTATAAGGAATGTGGTCGTAATGTTATGCTTTACTGATGCGCGTTGTACCCCAAAAATGATTTGACTACTCTGTTCCCTTGTGTTTGACTGGTGCACTGACTCGGGGGTCTCGGGCTGCTGTGGTTTTGGTAACATGGGACAGTCCTCTACAAGAGTTTGACCAATCTGCGCGCTGAGCCATGCCGTCACTCCACTCCCAGTCTGACTGCTGCTTGTACAACATGTTTTTATGTGTATTTCTCTTTGTTTTATGTCTCATCCAAAATATATTGAGTAAAATCACATATGCATTGTTTGATCACTGTCGTCACCATGGTACTGTATTGAAAAAAATGTGGAAAAAAAAGTTTGTTGGCCATCACCTGTAAAGAATTTTTCCAATGTTATTATTATTAGGAAGGAATTTTAAAAATGTTGCCTTTTCTTGTACAAAAGAGAAATTTATGGAGAGAGCCTCAGCAGTGGGGAATGTGCTATTGTGTTGGACCTGATAATGATTTATTGGAAATATATTAATTTTACTCTTGGATCAGGTATGTAAAGATTATTGAGAGACTGTATTGGTTGAATCTGCTCAGTTTGTTTGGTCTGAAATCTCGATGGTTATAGCCTGCCTTTGTATTATAAAGCACTTGTATGCAGTCTGTGTTTCTTCAAAAAGCATTATTTCTTGCAACGTGCTCTGGACATAATTCTGTCTGTGTGTTGATAAAAAGCAGTACATGTATATTATTATTATGGGCCAATCTTTTTATAAAACTATGCATATATAAATATCACATTGTTCATAGCTTTATTTGACCCATGAAGCTAAAAACATAACATTAGTCGAAGTACAAGTAGATGTGGACTTATCCAGCTTCTTTCCTCCAGATGGATTACAATGTATATGTAGCTATCAAAAGAAGTCTGTGAATGCTATTTTTATTATCAAATAAAGTTTTCCATACAAATCTTAAGTTTTTCAATATTTTCCTGCACAAGCACTTCCACTTTCTATTGATTAGTATCACCTAATGGAATGAAGATAATAAAAACATAAAGAAAACAACATAACAGTCCCAAAAGTAAATGCAGTCATATAAGGAATTAGGGGAACTGGTGGAAGAGATGGGGGTGGGTCCATTATGTTTTATTACAGGTCATATTTAAAAAGAGCTTCAAGCCATGTTAAAATGTTGTTGTCTCGTCAAAAACATACCAAGAGTTGTAGTTTCATTCACACATGTTTGAGTAACCCTTTATTATTAATTTGTCTACAATTCAAAAGCTCAAAATGGTCTGTTTCACCTAATGATGTCATGTGGTAATTCTCAAGTTAACAACTACTTTTTACCTTTAGTTCTGAAAAGATTGGCAATTCCAGGACTGAAATTATCCACATGATTTTAGTGAAGGTATATGGAGTTTAAAAACACAGAGGAGCGCTTTCTGTATTATCAAATGACATCACAAGGTGGACTGTTTCCAGTTCCAGAAGAACGCATTTTAAATATACAGGGTTTTTATGTTTAGCATGTGAATGAAACAAAACACAAAACTCTAGGTTTCTGACGTGGAAACATCATTATAACACAGACATGTCAGTCTCAGGCCCGGGGGCCAAATTTGGCTTGCAATATAACTATATTTGGCCCACAAGAACATTTCAAATATGTATTAGAGCTACAGATAGGCTATAGAGACATTATTTATTTAAAATTGTGTTATTTTTATATTATGCTTGTTCTGGATTCAATATTTAAGCAAAACAATTATAAAAAATTTATTTTAATAAGAAAAGGTTTAACATTACACATCTCGAATGTATAGAGAAAACATGCAGATGCTGTTGAAATTTTTTATTAAATATTTAATTTGGCCCATGACTTAGTCCCCGTTTTTAATTTTGGCCGTCTGTGAATTTGAGTTTGACACCCCTGTTATAAAAAATCGAAAATAATATAATAATATGGGCCGTTTAAAGTTTTATTTCAACATTATTATATAGATATGTAAAAGAAGTATCAATCTGAAATGAGTATGCAAAAAGTATTTATCACTATAATTTACATTACGTTGCTTGATGATGGTTCGTTGTATGAAAATCGTGCAACCTCAAATTCAAATCCATCTTAAAATGAGACAAGTTCCGGAAATTCTTTGCCGCATTCCTCCCTGTGGCTGTTGCTATAGTTACACATGAAGGTCAATAAAACAGAAAAAGTAGAACTGAGGAGAGCGTAGGAGGCGTCACGTCATTTAGTCTGTTCTCTAGTTTTCTTTCTAACCTGTTCCTCTGAGTCCTCTTTTCACCAACCACTTTCTCTTTCACTTAACATCTGCTTTGGTTATGCTTAATTAAAGGACCTATAGAAACATACCTGGAGTTATGTTAACACACAAACCCTGTATATTTAGGCTGAGTGCTCTACTGTGTTTTTAAACCTCATACAAATTCACTAGAATTAGTTCCATAATTTCAGCAGTGTATTTGCCAAGCTCTACTGAACTAAAGTTAATAGAGCACTGTTAACTTGAAAACTCAAACAACTCCAGGTCTGTTTGTGATTGGACCTTTCAGTGAATGTCTCATATCAGCTGAAACGTCCATGTTCTTAATAATTATCCACTCTCTCAATGTAACTATCTGATTTTTATCTCAATTCATCTAATTCATCTAACTAAGCTGAGGAGCTCTTTCAGGGGGACTCATTGTGTGAATATTTCAACCTTGGTACAAATGTGTCAGGCCGATAATACTCAGATGTAATGCAATAAACCTATTAGTACTTAAAGCTCTCAGTATTTGTTCTAAGATGATTTGAATGCAATGTACATAAACCCTAAGCAGCAACCCCAAAAAAAAAAGTTGAGGGTGGGAAAAAGAAAAAAAAGGCATGCCTCTTTTTCTTTCTTTCTTTTTTCTTTTCTTTTTCTTTTCTTTTTTTTTTTTTTTTTTTTTTGCTTGCTGCTCAGAATGATCACAACTACTGAAATAATTCTTAAGGCCGAGGTCACCTATGGGGTTTAAAGCAGCACCATTTAACCATAAGTAAACCAAGTGAAAATGACAACAATTTGTGTGAAGCAAAAAGTAACTCCAGACATGAATGCATTCTGAGTAAGTCATTCACATTTATTGATTTAATTAAATATTACTACAACCATCGTTAATACTTCCCCAAATGAAAAGTAAAACATAAACAGGATTTTCCATTTGCAAAGTGCCTTTTATTTTACATTGCCTTGATTACATGCCTCTACAATTAAAAATAAGCCAGTAACATTTAGAATCCAACTGTGAAGATTTTCCTCTTTCTTTCAGGACAAAATCTCAGATAGTAAAGTTGGATATCTGTACATACAAGAACAACTCTGTTAAGGGTGGACCTTTCCTGGTACTGTCTTTGGGTTGAACCAGCTCGTTTGTAAAAATACAAAAATGGAAGTGATTGGACTTTGGTGGTTTCCCAGGGAAGTCCTCTTTGTGGACGTGTCGTGGTGGTGAGGGAGAGCCAGGTCTTACGCTGGAGACACGGAGCTGGAGGAGACTGAAGAAGCCTCGGTCTTGGTGGTGGAGGCACCCTCCTCTTCCTCGAAGGGGTTCTTTCCACAGCACAATGTGGTGATCATGCAGTGGCGGAACTGCTTGTTCATGAAGATGTAGATCAGAGGGTTGTAGATGGCGGAGCTCTTGGCAAAGAAGGCGGGCACGGTCATAAAGAGGGGCCCGAACTCAGAGCCCTGGTGTGTGAAGATATACCAGGCCACACTAGCGTATGGCAGCCAAGACACTAGGAAGGCAATGACCATGATGACGACCATGCGGGTGACCTCACGCTCTGCTCTCTGGGTGGTCTCAGACTCCTGCTGGGCAGCGGCGGCCTCTTTGACGGCACACAGCAGGCGGCCATAGCAGAAGAAAATCACAATCAGAGGGATACTGAAGTGAACGATGAACATGTAGATCACAAAGGACTCATTGTTGAAGCCCTCAGCGCGAGTGTAGTAGTCAACCCCACATGAGCACTGCATGCCCTCAGGGATATATCGGGACCAGCCCACCAGGGGGGGCACAGCACAGGAAGAAGCCATGATCCAACTGAAGGCCACACCCATGATGGCATGGTTCTCCCCAAAGCGGAAGTTGCTGATGGGTTTGCAGACAACCACCCACCTCTCAATAGCCAGGACCACTAGGGACCACAGGCCAATCTCACCACCCAGGGTGGCAAAGAAACCCTCCAGGTTGCAGCCAAGGCGTCCAAGAACGAAGTAGCCATGCATTGAGGTATACATAGTTGTGGTGAATCCTCCAAACACCATGAAGAGGTCAGCTACCGCCAGGTTGAGCAGGATATAGTTTAGAGGGGTCCGCAGCTTCTTGTGTTCGATGGTGACATAGAGTGTGAGGAAGTTGATAGGGAAGCCTGCCAGGATAAGAAAGAACATGTAGGCCCCCAGAGCAGCATAGGCTGCAGGGTTCACTAGGTAGTACTGAGGGTATTCATAAGGGCTGCGGACGATGCCGGTGGTGTTGAGCATAGGGACATAGAAGTAGGGTCCCTCCGTGCCGTTCATGGTTGCGGTTTGTTGTGATCAGCCCTTCTCTGTTGGTTCTTTGGCTGGAGACTGAGATGGAAAGGGACCTACAAAGGGGCTCCCTGGGCCTCACTCGCACTTTTAAAGCCACACCTGGGATTAGCACTTTCCAAATCTGTCAGCACAAAGTGATTTAGGCCATGGTTAATATCTAATCCAGCCATCACTGCAACATAACTGGCCACTCATCAAGATATTAAGGTTACACCTGCTTAGGAACATCATCTTCAAATATAAAGATAACATTGTTTTCAGGTTTCCTACTAAATATTCATAATTACTATGCATACTGAATGTATTTCCATGCTTGAAGCAGACTTTATTGTGTGCCCCTCTTTGGGATTATGACTTAATCTGTTGGATTTTAGAGATGAACTCCTTATCATCCAAAACTGGGTCATTTTTTTTTTTGGATGGTTGAATGTTTATCACAAAGTTTTTGGCCACTTCAATTTTCCACACAATGAGGAAACATAATATATTTGATAATTAAGGCAAAGCAAGTCCAAGTGTCTCACCACTATCTGCTCCTTTCAAAATCTACAAACTCTACAACTGCACTGCATCACCTGGTGGTTTAATTGACCAGAGCACAGAGGATATGCCAATTGCAGTTTTAAACCATTTTATTCAACTTTTAACAGTTTAATTGATCAAGTATTGTATAAAAGGTGAGTCTACAGCAGTCTGTAAAAGACACTAAAATTGCATTAACAAGTAACTTTTTTGCCAGAGCTGATTTAGTTCCACAGATTTGACCATTAACTTGGCCTGCTGGCACCGCTTGAGGACCTTTTACCAGGAAAGTTGTACACAGCGTAGCAAACTGATCCTAATAAACACATAATAGCAGTGTTTTTGTATTATATGGAAACTCTGTAAATGAATATGCCACAAGAGGCCGTGGATTATATTTTATGTACCACTCTCAAGTGTTGTGAACAGCATTTGGGTTCAAACCTGTGTGAAATCACTAGTAAAAACAAATGCAGTTAAAATCTAAGCCAAACTGGTAAATATGCTGTAGCAAATTCATTGTTGTTAAATATGTTAACATTTAGAGAGATACATATTAGATCTGAAAGCAGCAGCAGTTACATCTCTTACAATGTGTCCAGCCCAATGATAGATGTGCTACTGAGACATTTCTGAAGATGAGAGGAGGATGAATCTCCAGTGAGCGCTGGAGTCTTATCAGTGTAAAGAGCTCAGCACTTTCCTAATGGGTGTCGTATTAAAGGGATTTGCGGCTCATGAAGTGTAACTCTCATACGCCTGTAATGGATTTAATGTCACTCTAGGTCACTCCCTTTAACTGTCAACTCACTGACTGCACACGAGTGGACAATTCAGCTCTGTATTTTGTGTATTTCATTCACTCCTTGAATGTTAACGGAGAAAAAAAGACCATGGCCACTTTTTATTTTCATCTCTATTTTTCCTACTCTATTGTATTGATGTTATTTGCTATAATTATATTGAGCTGACACAATACGGTATAATAATAACATAAGTGTATTCCTACTCTAAACAACAATGGGAAAAGCAAACAGGCCTTTCATTTTACTACAGCCTATTTGTCTGCAGTAGTAGTGTAAATCTGACTCAGCATTTCTGTCCTGACAATTCACTCATTATAGTAGTATTTTTTTATTTTTTTTTATAACTGAATAATACCAATGTCAGCACATGGGTACAGATTGGTAATGCATCTGCCACACAGCATCATTATTTGAGCCATTTGTAAAAAGGCAGCAGAGGTCACTTGAAGTTTTTGCACCCTCTGGAGGACAAAATTATAGTTGCAATCATAAAAGTGAGGAACATCTTCTGTCTGGTCTCTTTCCACTAAAAAAACAGCAGTTCTTAGACAGCTCTGAGTGCAGGAATACACACAGTTGAATAACACACACAGGTTAATGAATAGTGCATTAGACAAACCATATAAGTCAAAGTATTGGTTCAAGAAGTTACTCAGGTAATAGTAAAAAAGTATTTGGAAAAACTATTTAGATCTGACACATAATTTGTTATTGTAGTAACAAAACATTAAATGTACAAAATCAGGTATTTTCAAAGGACAGACAGCAAAACAGAAGTGGAATATTCTGTGTGAAAACTACTCCAAGAACTACAATTTTATTAAAAGTAAATGTAACATTGCACTACCCTCTGGCCATAAATGATAGTGTTCATAATATAGCTAATTTATTCATAAATACTTCTTATTGCAACCTGGACTTCTAGATTCTTCGTTTTAGTTTTTTTTTTTTATTATTGTGGTGCCAAAAATCTGTATCATCTATCAAGTAGAGATCGACCAGTATAGGTTTTTTAATGGCGATGCCAATGTCGATTGTTTAGAATCCAGAGAAACCAATGGCAGATAAACTTAGTTATAATATCTATGTACTAAAGTGTTAAAATAAAGCTTTGTGTCTATTCTTTATTCAGCAGATCGACCAAAACTAAATATCGGCCTGTGCTGGAGATTTAAGGCTGACAGCTGATCCACTAAAAAGTCCAAATATTGGCCTGATATATCGACCAACCGATATATTGGTCTGTCTCTAGTACCAAGCATTTTCAAATAGTTTGAAATGTATTTCCTGATCCTGATCACTGCCTTTTTGCCCCTGTGATGAGAGCTGTGTCGAGCTTGTCTTATGTGTGCTGTTGACAGTGGTTTTCGGAGGACGCTGAGTGGGCAGTGAGTGTGATGCTTTCGCACTCAGCCCACAGGAACACTCTCTTTCTGTGTTTGAGATGGGCCGCTGCAGAGGAGGAGCTGCCACCAGGACATAACTCAAGATCCACTCATTCACTCAACACGTGTGAATCTGAGCAGTGGGAGGAAGAGGGGTCTACAAAAACACATGAATAACATACACAGTCCACTCAAACCACTACAGATAGGCCTAGATAACTATACACTCCGGGGATGGCAGGTAGTCAACCCAATATTTGGATTATTTAGTACATCAGCTGTCGGCCATAATCTCCAGCACAGGCCAATATTTTGTTTTGGTTGAAATGCTGCCTAAAAAATACACACACATCTTTATTATAACACTTCAGCTCTCCTTTAGATTTGTGGTATAAAAGGACTGGTGGTGAGTGTGTAAATTTAACATATACAAAAATATCATCAGAGCCTATGGGCCATCAGGTAATCTTAATTTTAAGCAATCACATCGGCATGATAAAACCCTTATCGGTCGATTTTTAACATTTACTATATGTTTTGGTAGTTTTATCCGCTCTGTTGATATTGTTTTTGTGTCCACTTTACTTCCTCCATCTTAACTGTATAGTAAAATTTCTAGAAAAGTAAAATACAATGGAAGACTATGCTTTCAGATAGTACAAAGTTTGAGGAACAGCTCTTAAAACCCATAAAACTGTGTCCAAGTAATTCCCTTGTACATGAGGAAAGTTGGTCTAAGAACAGGAATAAGCAGAATTTGTGAACTGATCATATTTGATAATAAATAATAGATTGAAAATAGTAGAATAATAGAGACAAATGTCATACAGAGAGTAGGTCATCCAGAAGATTTGTACATTATCGAGATGTTTTTGTCCAGATAGTTCTGACAGCAAGAATGTACATTTTCCACAAATAACATAAGGCCAAATAACACTGTTGCATACACACCAGGCCTGTCACAATAAATACAATGTCGACTTATCGTTCAGTAAATGAAAGCTGAATCAGTATAATTTGGGGCTCAATATTTATCGTGTGTACAATTTCTTTGCAATAGTGGAGAGGTTTTTTTTTGTTGTTGCCATTTTTATGCAGTAACGTAAGACTTGAGTTGTAAACATAACTTCAATGGCTAGAAATCACAGCAAAAATTGGAGTGTTAAAATTGACATGTGTTAAAACATTTTCTCAGGGTTTACATGAGCCCGATCTGTTCTAAAGTTAATTTAACATTTTTGGAAATGTTAATTTAACACTGGACCAAAGTTTCAGCTTAACCCCAAAATATATTCACGTTTTGAGAGTAAACAGATTACACTTTGTAGGGTTATCCTGGTTTAGCTAAACAGCACACAGAGATGTTTTATTTTTACACTTTATTTTAGTTAATTTAAGATAAAATTATGTACAAAACTGATTCAAACTGGTCTTCTCTCACAGTGGTGGGTGGGAGGTGCCAAATTAACACTAAGGGAGGTTGAAAAATTGAATTAACCCTAAGGGAAATTGAATTAACACTAGAGGAACTTGAATTAACACTAGGGGATGGTGAATTAATATTAGGAGAAGTTGAATTAACTTCAACTAAATCAACTTCTAACCCCAACTCAAACCCCCATTTCACTTTCAAATAGTTAAAATAACACTTTTTTGTGTTAAAAACAATTCTGAGATATTTCACGATGACATTTTAACCCTCCAGTTTTTGCTGTGCTGGTATTTTCTAAAGCTCAGGCCTTTTAATGATACGGTGTATTTAAAAAATTGGTTTACTAGAATTATCCTTTTGTGTCAGTGGCATAAAGTAGTTTTCAATATTATCATTTATCATTATATTTCTCTGTAACAATATATCATGCTTCAAAGTTTATTATTATGACAGGCTTGCCCACAATGGATTTAATCTCCTAATTAATCTAGCACATACTAGTCTTGGGATAGAAAGAGAAAATGAATAGTTGTATTAACAAAGGGACAATATGCAGACTCAAACGAGAGTTCTGATACCCAAAATGCCTCTCAAAACCAAAATGTTCATGATGCATAGCAGTTCTGTTACTCATCCGTTCTTCATCTTTATAAATTCTAATAGTTTGTCTTTGCCTCAGGTAAACACATTATCAGTTAATGCATGTTTAAGCTGTCAGCCATTTCACTTTAATGAACCAGAATAAAACAAGAAAATTACGCAGCCAGAAGAGATGTTTCTTAGATGAACTCACAGCACAAGTTTTCCTGCTTAAAATGCAGAACTGAGTGACTGCAGCAG